CTGTCGTAAGTTCAGGCATTTACATGATCAGGGAAAATTACTGAAACATATATCTAAAAATATTTACGGGATCACCTGCGTTTTAAGGTTGACATACAGATTGCCTTCAAGGCCCATAAATATAAACAACTTCTTACTTTCTAAAAATAATATAACAATAAAAATATATATAAAATTTACGGATAACACTAGCTCCAATAACGTTTTAAACTTGAAAGAAAATATATACATTTATAATTTTTATATTAGTAAATAGGTTTCAAAATTAAATATTGGCCTTTTTATCTTCTCAAGATAACTTAAAACTTATTGTTCATAGTCCACGCCATATATAGCACAGATAACAAAAAAGAAAAAAAAAACTTCTCTATATGAAACTTGGTAACTATTACGGCCCAGCGATATTTCACCTCGAGGTTTTTTATTTGTTTGAATTATTTTTCGCCAATGCGGATAGTCCTATATACTTTGATCCCATGTGTCACAGAATTTTGCGAAAAAAAAAAGTGCGTTGAAATATCGCTGTGCGAACGGGCCCTTACTAACCAACTTTTAAACTATCGCGTTCTATAATATATAATTGTTTACGAGAATTATCGCGCCGTGGTAACAGACGTGGTGACCACGGTCAGTACAACCTGGTCGAAACGTCAGGCAATTCAAAGGCATGTACTTAATATCTATCTTGAGCGCGTTCTTGCCGTAAACATAATTATATATCACTAACCAAGCACAAATAACCAAATATTTAAATATAATTTTCTATATATTAAGTGATAAAATTCATAACAAGTCGCTGACCACATGGCGAATAAAACATTGATGTTTTTTTAAATCTACATTTTGTAATTCTGTTTTCAAATTTTGCGGCTTTGAATGTAGGATACAATTTTTGTTCGAAAATAGGTTTTGTATCGTGTAATTCCTTAACATATTCTTGTTTAATGACAATATTTTTTAAATTCTTATTTTATACAGTCGATTATAATGAAGACGATAGTAATAGGTGGTTTATAAATAACTTGGCGATTAGAGAGAGAGGTAAAAATAGGTTAACCTACCAAATAGATCTTAATCTGGTAACACCGATTACATAAACTAAATACGGTAAAAAAAAACGCTTCTGCGCTTATCTGCTTGCGATTTTAATGATGTAATTCTTGATTACCTTGTGCCATTGATAACAAAGTATAGGTCATACCACATATATATGTATATTAAACCTAATTACACAGATAACGCTAGATAATAATAAAACATACCAGACGAATATCACCGCATCAGATCGAATAAACGGTAAATAAATGGTTCTTATTGTAGAAAATGTAAGTATCCGGTATTACTATTGTCAAGGTATATAGATTGTTTTAAGTGTGAAAACCCCTTTAGTTTGTCATATGCAGTGTGTCGGAATTGAAACGACTAAAACTACACGGTGTGCCACTCTGCGCCTGAAATAGGAGGCATCCGGGAACTGCTGTCATTAAAATCCGGATGTCTCAGTATACATAGTATATTATATAGATATTCGTCTTTATTGTGAGATTGAAACTGGATACCAAAATCAAAATCGCCGGTTTGTATATTTTTGCGTATACATTTTCACGTAGTCGGGTTTTTCGCTTTTTTTTTAGTAATAATTAGCATATTATCAGTTAAGATTCCCAACCTCTTCGATTTTCATTTAAAAAAGTGTAAGGTGATTTACCCAGTAATACAAAGCACATGTAATTAGTGCAGTCGTGACTTCGTTTACTACCATAAAACAATAAAAAATATAAGTACACATTTAATGGCAACTATAAAAAAAAACATTTACCCGTATTTAATAGGCTCTTCAATAATAAGTCGTATTGAACATTACACTAGACTGCCTTTCGGTTGCATTTGATTTGCATTGGCGTGTAAACTTTAGACGATTTTGAGTGGTCATTGTGCTTCATAAAAAAAAGTTGGCAACATTTAAATTAACAGTAATAAAAAAGTTCGCTTCAGACTGACTAAATGTTTGTAAAGTCCCCCGTGACTAAGGATTTATTCGTAGTGGGGAGTTGTCTTTTTAGGTAAGAACGGAAAGAAAAGAATAGCGTTATACTATTCCTCACTTCAATGTAACAAAGCGGCAATACATAAGGTAGGTTATACCAAATATCGGTTAGGCCACAGAAGACCACTACCAAACTAGTCCAAATATGGCGGGAAACTAAAATGTCAACGGACATTCTAAACCACAATACCTCTTTGGGTACATGACCTGTCATTATGTTCTTTCTAGAAAGTTCTTTATTAATTTTATCGAAATGGGATGGAGTCTTATACAGAGAATAACACTGATGGATTTGCCAGTATTAAAGCTTACCATGTGTTCCGTGTAGGATTAAGAATAAGTAGTGTCACCACCACTATGCATCCCGTGGGTGTCTAAGAGGATGCTAAGGAAGCAAACTACACAGGACAACAGCACTGCAAAGAGGAGCAAAACTATATACAAACCCTATGCCAACCCTTCTTTCTTAGGAGAGGGCTAGGTCGCCCAGTGGACTGTTAAAGGCTGTTGATGATGATGATCTATAAAAATACAATCACATTGCCTTGATTAGAGCCATTTAAGTGAGATTTTATCTCTTTTTTAATATAAGATAAGACTTTCCTACGTAACAATAAATTACACTACAATTGCATAATAATTATTTAAATAATTACCTATGTTTTATCATAAAATCTTATGTTATCTAACGACTACATAAAACTTTTGTGACGCATCGATCAAGCCTCGCACCCTGACCAATCAGGTTCCAAGATTTCGTGAATAACGATATTTTTTAGAAACTGATTGGTCAGGGTGCGGGCCTTGATCGGTGCGTCACAAAAGTTTTTATGTAGACCCAAAAGAGACCTTCAAAAGACCCCCTCAAAATTAAAGGAAAAGTTATAAAAAACATGGTAACAACACAAAGAAAAAAATGTTATTTAAATTAAATTATTTTTATAATAATTAATGTTTAGTCCCAGACCTGAGTGTGTAACTTAACCCTTTAAGGTAACCCTTTACATCGTGTCACAGCGCATTGATAGCCGGATTACTGCGTATGGTATTGTATGAGGTTAAGTTTTCTATACAATGCAGAAGCCTTCTTACCCCTAATCGCATACAACTTATACGTCGTACATATTATAAATGTGTAAAGAACGTAATGAATTGGTCACTGCTATGGTCAGTACAGAAAGTGATGTCTACCGTGGAAGAGCATTGCTTCCTTACGTGAGGGATGACACCACGTACTCACATAAACTGGTGTTAACAAATCGTTGCTTTTCACAGAGAGAGCACCTTACCCTTCTTTCGCTATTCCCCGTCCCCTCCATTTAATTCTTGGAATTCTGGGGTTTTCAAAAGGGCCTTCAAAAGGCGGTGACTCTTTTTTCCTGGTGTGTATCTTTAAATTATTATTTATCACGAAAATAACTATCCGAAGTGGGGATGGAATAGAATCACCACCACATTTGATAAATCATATGATTTATAAATCCTTTTATCACAGCTGTGACTGATTGTCCTGCTGCAGGAGCTATAGCCATACGCAGAACGTTTTGTCAAATCTATGTTCGTGTAAGAACAGATATTAATAGCATTATAAAATATATACCCCCTATTGTAACTCCATAATCTGATGACGGAATCACTGACTGACGGAGTGCAGGGAAAAACTATTTTAATGTAGCAAATGCTACCTTAATTTTATTTATATTTTATATTTCTTGGAGCTACAAAACAAAATAGCGTTATAAAAACCTATTCACACAACACAACCAGTTCTGTACTGCGCTGATCTAAACTGACATGGTTCAGAGCAGCGCAATACATCTGCTATTAATAGTACCTACACTTAGCTTTTCTCTAGATGTTATTCCTATTCTTATTATTTTCAAAATTAGATCTTAAATCCTACCATAATAATGGTATGAAAATAAAATCTTGCTACGTTGATATAATAATTGCACAGATGTTATGTATTCAGAGCATAGCCCGGTTCAACGACCATCGAGTTAAAATGTCAACATATATTCGGTAAGGTAACACCAATGTCAACCGAACCTAATAAAATAAAACAAACAACAAAATTAAATAACTATTTGTATAAGAGTCTAATAAAGAGATAGCTTAGTTTTAGAAATATGTTATAAATTAGCATGCGGTGCTTACCTGTAAGAGATTGTAACACCAGAATAACTCAACAGTAGATTGTTTAATGTATTTTACATCCAACGTAGAGGTGCTGGAGCGAGCCAAGTGCAAGAGAGAACTGATGGCTGTTATAGCGAAAAGGAAGGTGGCCTTCTTTGGACACATACAAACGGGCCCGCAACATGAATTCCTGAGGCGTCTGTTAGAAGGAAAAATACCAGGCAGGAGGACACCAGGTCGACCACGAAGGAAGTGGATAGATGACATCGTGGCCTGGACCGGGCTGCGATATCGCCAACTAAAGGAGGCCGCTCATGATCGAGGGGTGTACCGTCTGCTGACCTCCAAACTTCATTTTGAGGATGGCACCCCATGATGAGATTGTTTAATATAATTTAAATAGCGTTAAAAATGTTGCAGAAAAAGATGTTGAAAGTCAAAGAAAAAGGTGGATCGATGACGTTAGAAAAACACCAGAAACACTGGATGAATATTTCTACATATAAGGAAAAGTGGTAAATTATGGAAGAGGCTTTCCCCCTTGTGTACCACTAATGTACGTAATTAAAAACAATATAAAATTAAAAAAAAAATCGCTTATCAAACTACTATAAAACTACATGCAATGCTACGTCGTGTACACGATTTAACTACGACACTATAATTAAAAAAAACACAAAGTACAATATGTATACTTTGCTATGCACATTAAGCGATTCTAATTTAAAAAAAAAACCTATCATCAAGCCATAAATCTATGGATACCCTCAACCTACTGTCTTATTACAAGTCCTCTGTGTACTAGACCACGCACATTCAACATTCTCCTTCCACACCGGTTCAGCGGTCTCGTACACCTCCTTCTTCCATATCGGCACGCTGGCCTTGAGCCGTTCGATGCAATGTGCCACGGCGTCCAAGGAGTCTCGTCTGTGAGGACTGCTCGCGGCGATTACAACAGACGCCTCGCGACATGGAACCATGCCTAGTCTGTGGACGATAGAAAATATTATATTATTATAACATAAAATTACATGTTCAAAGAAAGAAACGGGCAAAAACCTCCAAGGATACTCTCCTTGGAGGTTTTTGGCCGTTTGTTTACTGAAAGAGCTGCGTATTGGAACAACCAATTAGCTTCACGCTTCACTTGTTCTGCCTTCCAGACGTTGCTTTTGAATTATAAAACTAACAAGTACTCTATAAGTGATTTAATTGAAATAAAAGGTTTTTAAGTGATTTACTTTTGATCATCTGTGTCGCTTGGCAATAGTGCAATTGCCTAATCGCATGCGTCGGTGTCGTGAAATTTTAATATTGAATGCTATTTGTATCGGTTTAGTTGTTTATATAATATAATAGTTATAAACGAAAACGTATCTGAGTACAAGCTTTGCTTAGTTTAACATGTTATGTGTTTAGTTAAACATGTTGTTGAACTGCATACGGTTGTTGGTGGAATCTGCTACCATGGCGAATATTTGAAACGGCCATATACATATGTCATATAATGTGGTAACGGTAGAATTAACAGTGATTGAGGTAGGAGTACCCTCTTTTCTTGAAGGTTTGCAGTATCGTATCGGTCCGGAAATACCGCAGACGATAACTTGTTCCACAGGTTGGTGGAGTGCCAATTATCCAAGTGATTGACATTTCACATAATTTTTAACCGAATTCAAGAAAAGAACATTCGGTTCTTTTTTCTATGTTTGTGACCTCAAAACTCCGTCATTTGTGAATCGATTTGCAAAATTCGTTTTTTATTTAAATAGTACAATGCTCGTTTGGTCCTATTCAATTTGTAGAAAAAAAATACCACTTCTAAGGATGAAAAATTAAGGAATGAAGAATATAGTTTAGTACAATTCGTCGTGCTGTTGTCACATTGAAGTCAATAATACGGTTAAAGTTAATTATTTTTATTATCGATTGACCCAATTGTTGCGATGAATACGGATTTGTAATTCATCAGAATAGTTTGTAAAATACATACATCAATGAAAGTCTCCAGGAATCTCTACTAATATTATAAATGTGAAAATAGCTCTGTCTGACTGTAATTATGCATGGAAATACCTACTTTGACTCTTGAGGAAGGACATAGGCTACTTTTTACCAAAACAACCGACATACATTATCGAGTTTAAAGTATCTGATTTTACTTCTATAATTAAAATAAAGATTAAAGGCTGGTGTCGTTATTCTAGTTTATAGATCGTATACAAGTCTGAAGTTGAATTGCACCAATAACAAATAAAACTCTATAGTTATTTTAATATGAACTCTATTCATTATAAATAGGGACGAATACAACTCGTACGTTACAAAGGATGCTTGTAATGTTGTAAAATAAAAATCGAATAGTTTCTCCATTCGACCCTGGATTTACACGAACGCTAATTTAACACTTTAGTGTTCACGAACAATATTATTTAATGACTAGCAATTTGTTGGAATAACAAAATAATGAATTGCTTTAGATGTATATAACTAAACTTTAAGTGGTTCTGTAATTTCTTCTGCTGATGCACGTCGATTGTGACGTTTTATAGACTTGCACAATTTTATGGGGCTCTGGTTTTCACCTATTATTAGTCTACTATTTGCGATCGAATAAGTCAATTATCAGAATAACACAAAACATTACAAAGTTATTACCAATGTGCAGTCGAAATTGTTTTGATTGAATTAAGCTGCCCTGGGTTAATGCCCCGCGTGTCTGAACGGGTGGTCGATCGAATCGGATCGGTGCAATCCCAAAGCTTGAATACTATTTAAATTTCTTATTAGTAACTAAGTAAGGACTATTCATTGATACACCATAGATCAGGATAAAACAGGGACCCTGTTTAAATTACTCTGTCCCCGCCAAGTTCAGACATTACGCTGGATTTAAAACCCAAGTTATATTGAAGTGTATAAATACCACTGAACTAACTAACTAAAGAGTTTGTAAATATATTGCGACCTTTATCGCTACTCCGGATGAAGACATTTATTTATAAATTACCAATACATTACAGGCAGGTAAACAGCAGATGAGTGCATACATTTTAAAAGTGTCACGTCACAATGATGATTTGTAAGTAACAATAGATAGGTACTATAAAACAAAATGATGAGAAAAAAATATTATAAGGTCATGTCTCCAAACTTACTGATGTTCCCTAGAGCCGAAAAAAAAAGTTAGTTTTCAACCAACCTGTTTCTGGTCTGGTAGTTAGTGACCCTGACTGCTAAGCTAAAGATTGTGGGTTAATATTCTATATTTAAGTATGTTAATTTAGAAACATGTACCCGATTGAAGACACTTGGCGTGACACAAATTACGTAAGTAGGACAAAAATTAATTAAAGTCAGCAAAATGGCTAAATGTAGGCGTTTAATACGCATCTGTCTCCCCTTCGCAGATAAAGATTCGAGTTGTTTTTAGCTAAATTGATATCCATTTTTAGCGGCCTCGCAAGTCACAGTAGATATACGGGCATAAGACGCCATCCGAGACGGTTTCCCATGCGCTGTCTTTTACCTTAGCTTTCTCACTTCCATAAGGGAAGCTCAATTTACCTTTTACGCTTGCATTGTTTAACAAAGATTACAGTCGGCCATAAAAGCAAGGTGATAATGATGTTGAATATAAAAAAATGCCAAACCAACTTGTTCTACACCTAAAAATTTCAAGAATATTTAAAATTGAATACAATTGTTGCACACTGATAAGCATAACGTGTAATGTCGTCTGGTTGTTATCTGGAGGTAATGCAATATATAAAGAAGTCATTTATTTACATCATCATATTATTTTTACTTTAACGTCGACTTTGTTTGCAGATGACTTTGTAGCAATGAAATAAGCGACATTTTTTCTCTTTCCCAAAGGTATTGAGTGGCGTATGAAATCTTTAAACAGTAACGAATACTATTGATTTTTTTACATTCTTATGTTATGAATGTCTATTTCTTTTTGACGGGGTAAACACTTGGTCTTTCAAACCGGAAAAACATATTTATTTGTGTATTGTCCTTCTACGTACGTAACGACACGTAACCTCATTTAAGTTTTCTAGAGTCGAAAGAAGTGTGAAAGCACTAAACGATAGATCGACAAGGCAAACAAGTTGACGACATGTGTATAATTCACGGGTGTCACGGGATGGGTGATATTGAACCAAATAAATAATGTACGACACAAACAACTAATAAATACCAATTTCTGAATGACGCAATTCATATGATGCAATGACACATCACAATCTAACATGATATCAGCTAATTTATGTTTTAAAACATGGAATTGCAGATAATGATACCATCTTAAATAAAGGGACACAGCACTTCAACTCACCATTAAGGAATCGTTAATCAGACATGTAATGTGATAAATGCCAGAAAATCTATGGAATAAGACAATAATATATTTAGTAATAATTAATCTGATCTAATGGGAATGTCACGTCATGGACGATTTTGCTTAAAGCATTTAACTCACACCCCAACTACTGCGTTTTTGTTGTTAACTATGCTTAAGTCTGTATATGTATAAAAAATTGCAATATATAGAAGAAGTTTATGTTTAAAGGTTATTTGACTAATTAAGGTAAAACATCAAATTTATATTGACATAGCAAAACTCATGTCCAAGTTACGACAAGTTGTTGTTTTTGTCCATGCGGTAATCCTAGACCATTGTTTTCATATATTATACTAACTGTATCCTGCTACGCTTCGCTGTGGCATATTGTTGTGCATTGATGAGAAATGAACAACACTGACGCGAACAATAGATTAAAACAATCTTTGAAGTGGGTTGTACTATGTGACAAAATTTGAGCTCAATCGGCTTATCTACAACTTATTAAGTTTTTAAAGCGTACACAATCCAACTTAACATTTATATATATCACTACATTATATAGATTTAAAAAAGCAAAATGGTTTCAGTTTTCAGTGGAGTGGTGGAGATATTCCATCTGCTTCATCATCAGCAAAAGCAAAATAAATTGAACCATATTTAGGAAGTAAGGTGATTTAAAATTAAATGGGAAATATTGGTCTTAGTGGCCAAGGCAGGCCAAGGATATCGTATGAAATTTCACCGGCTATCAGAGGCTTTGGAATGGTACCATACCAAGAACATACAGACTAAGAATGCGATAGGATCTTTCAGGTAACCCGAAATGACTTGATTTTATACTATCGTAAGAAAAGAATTTTTGGCTTCTGATAACAAGATTTTTATTTTATAAGAAAATTATTAATTTAGTTGAAATATCAAAACAAATATGTAAAGGCAATTTTTTCCCACGTTTTTAAATTGCAATTTAATTACGTTGTTGTAATTCGTCGACAATCATTAACTATATGCCTAATTATAATTTCTTAACTTAATTTATTGGCTTGCCAACCCTATAATGTTTTCTGCACAGCCAGTGATACAACACCATACAGATATTATTATATTTCTGTACTACTCTAAAAGTTAAAATTTCCACACGGGAAACCCAATTATTTCTTCTCAGGAATTTCATTACAAAAGCATATTGTGGACAAAGCCATGTGTGGATCACGTAATGTATTATTTTACGCACTTGGTGTTTCATTTATACAAAAACTGGGATATTAAAAAGATTATACGACAGGTGTTATGTTATGTTGGTTTACCGACAGATAGGACTGGTAACTCCTGAAGTCTATTTTTATTCTATTTATTTTTAATTGTGAGGTTTTTTTATGGAAGAGGGGGCAAACGAGCAGACGGATCAGCTGATGGAAAGCGACTACCGCCGCCCATGAACGCCTGCAACCCAGGAGTCTCAAGCTTTTACCGTCACTTTCTTAATTCTAATCTAACTAAGGGACGGTGTGATATCTGTCATATAAGAATTTCTTATTTTTTTTGGTCCAGCGGTTACTAAACCTAATAATAATATTAGATATCGTGGGCTTAGTTCTCACCTAGTTCAAAAATCTGTGTAACGTTTTAATGAATATTTATTAGGAAGACAATTCTCGTAATAAAAGTTCAGTCACAAATCAGTTCCAATCAACTCTCGATCTCGCAACTGTCATAAAAGGTATTTTCGTAGTAAAATAGTAAAGTATTACTAAGACTAGCAGATTACCGATTCAATTTTCGGTTACAATACGATATAATCACATTACAGTCAACGTTGGACGTTTAATATTTTACTAAGAAAATACCTTTTACTCTATTAGACAGCCATATTTGTGATGTATGTCAAAAAATAATAATTAAAAGTAATAACTTTATTTTATTTACGTTAGATACACTTCTGTTTGATGAATTGTTTCAATTATTTTACTTTTAGCAATATTGTAGTTGATATATATAATACGATTTTAAAAGTAACGATAAAATAATGAGTTAGCCTTATTATATTCGTACGTTTGTAGTTAATTAATATTTGAACATATAATCCTAAACTAATGAGTTTTTAACATATGTCATCATCATCATCATCATCATCAACAGCTTTTAATAGTCCACTGCTGGATATAGGCGTCTCCTTAGAAAGGAGGCTTTGGCCCACTATATCACGCTGACCAGTCGGGTTTTTATAGGGTTTGTGTCAAGTTTTCCTTCTCTTTGTAGTGCTGTTGTCCTGCGTAGTTAGCTCCCTTAGTTGCCTCTTACGACACCCACGGGATGAATAGGGGTGGTGACACTCTGTATTCTTAATCCGTCACCACACAGACATTGACATATGTATTTGGTTTGAATTAAAAGCCTTGTATTTGGAACAAAATAAACATCTGCTGGTTCTTTATGAATTAAAGCAGTTGGTTAAACAACCGGGTAAATATTTATTTTATTTTACACAGATGTTAATTATTTTAATGTTTAATATCTGTAGCTTTATGGCTATTATATAAACATAATGACAGTGGCATGTCAATATACATATGAAAATGCATTATATGTTCATAAAAACAAAGATAGCTTTTTGAAAAAAAAAAGTTATGTATGTGGATTACATAGAAGACAAAAATGCTAGTTAATAATTAAGCACAGGCTATTTCTTAAGTGGAAATGTGAAGTGGGCTAGGGTGATTTTTATTATTATTATTTTCTATTTTGTATTTTTCACTTCAAATTCTCTTTTATTTGATCTTTTTTCCTAAACTTATTTTTATATTTATTGTCTTTTTACCTTTTAATCCTTAATAACGGACATACTGGCACACAACGGAACAATGTTGTGGTATATTTAATGATGCCATTGTATTTATCTGTAAGTTGCAAAACAGTGTTGATGACTTTGTTTGCCCCTTCTTCTCATAAGGCTCAACCCCTTGGAAACGGGAGGTTGTAGATCGGCACAGGCATATCATAGATTTTGTATAAGCATTAATTTTTATTATTATTTATTTACCTTACTATTTGACAAAATTGTGTGTTGATTTACGACTTTATTCTAAATAAAAGACGATTTCAAACAATTTAAAAAAAACAATTATGTATAATATGTACCTAGGTAGTTCAGGAATCGAATCTTGCAGTTTTTGCCAAGCTTTGCCCGAAATTCAGTTTCCAAAACCTATAATTACTTATATTCTTGAGTTTTATAAGAGAAATTGTTCTTCGATGATTGATTACGTACTTTAAATAGACTATATTTTGAATGATTTACGAATGTATAGTTTGTACTTGTAGTAAAAGACGATATTACTTGCTAAATATCAAAGTTATAGGTCAACGGAAAATCTTATATATAAAATTCTCGTGTCACAATGTTCGTTCTCGTACTCCTCCGAAACGGCTTGACCGATTCTCATGAAATTTTGTGTGCACATCGGGTAGGTCTGAGAATCGGCCAACATCTATTTTTCACATGCCTAAATGGTAAGGGTGACCCATCCCTATTTTTTTTTTGTCTTGCAATACAACGTTTACCGGGTCAGCTAGTACCGTATAAATTATGATTTCCATGAAAGTGTCGAAATATGCTTTTTTGCGGCCTTAACGGCCTTATCTTTTTTTGCGTTAACTTAGGAGTTTGATTATTTTACAGCTTCAAGGGACCGTAGACATGAGTATATAGTTTTAATTTCAACTCGATACCCCACGCGTTACCGAGATAAAGGGTCTTGACAGTCAGACAGACTGACAACAAGGATTCCGTTTTTTCCTTTTGAGGTACGGAACCCTAAAAACAGTCATATTATTAAATGAGTTTTATAAGATAGGGGGCGAACGGTTACATTGGTCTCCTGATGGTTAGTGACGACCTCCGTCCATTAACACCTGTAAGATCTGCAACTAACGCCCATTAACGCCTTTAATGTGGGAGGACAAGTACGCTCCTTTCTTAAAGTTTATTATCGCTTTAGTACTAATATGCATATATATATATATATATATATATATATATATATATTACAAGAATGGATGTCTTCACGTAGCTGGTTTATTTCTTCACCCCTCGTCAAGCATACAAGCAATCAAGCACAATCGGTGCAGAAATTTTGAGTTTTTAAAGCGTACACAAACCAACTTAACATTTGTATATATGTATTGTTATGATTATCTAAATAAATTATTATTACATAGTTAGTTGAGCATTCTTTACTTTAAAAAGGTAAAAAAAAAGCTTTTTTTATTTAAATTTGTACTCCCAACTTTTGTTTAACAAAGATCATTTAATCTATCCAAATAAATAAAATTAAAGTGTCTGGTTGTAATGTCAAAATAATAGGTTTTTTTTCATGCTCACACGGTTATTTGCAGGATACCTTTGCCTAAAAACCAGTTTAAATTTCTTTTGTCTGTCTGTTTATCTGTCTGTTTGTTCCGGGTAATCTTCTAAATGGCTGGACCGATTTTGATAATATTTTACTACCAGGTAACTGTCTATATAAGGAGTAACTTAGGGATTTTTCCTCTCAAAAATACACCTTAAAATTTTGCCCATGCCGGGAATCGAACCCACCAAGGCAGCGCTTTTCAAATTCCACGCGAACGAAGTCGCGGGTACCAGCTAGTCATTTAATCTAATGAACATAACAATATTATGGTTAAGTAATTTCCGTCACAACACGTAATCATTTTATCTCTGACCACTATTGTCCACTTACAGTGTTTTCCTTTAGCAGGATTTTCCCTGTCATTTATAAACTAGGTAAATTATCAGACAGGGGCTAACTTTACTATAATAGCTGCATATATTTGTTGGGCCTGTTGGTTGTTAGTAGGAATGGAATAAAATCACAAGCACATGTTATAAATCATATGATTTATAAATCATAACATCACACCTAACAGTGACTTACAAAACCACTAACTATTTCATTATTATTATTATGCTAGCGCAAAAATGCAAAAGGTCTAAACCTAAAAAAAAGGGTCGTAATCTTTGATAAAAAGATTTGATTTTATTGATTTGAATGCCATTAAAATCAATCAAATCAAATCTTTTCTTATATATATTAATCTTTGTCTATCACAGAATCACAATCACATGTGAAATCGCTGTGACTAAAACTAATCATTTCATCAAACGAATATTATTTAAAAGTAGCATAAATTTCCATGTTTAGTTGTTAGTGATCCTGACGGCTAAGCTGCAGGTCGTGAGTTCGATTCCTACTAAGTAAAAATAATTGTGTGATGAGCATGATCATTTGTTCTGTGTCTGGGTGTAATTTATTTACAATATATATATTTAGAAATATATAAGTATGTTTATCAGCTGTCTGGTTACCATAGTAAAGACTGCCTAGTTTGGGATCACGCTCCGCGCCCGTATGTAAAATATTTGAGGTTATTATTATTATAAATACACAGAAAAAATAGTTTAGTAACTATTTCCTTCTCTTTCCTTAGTCAATTTTCTACTGCTAGCTGACAAAGTTTGGTAGTTTAAATAAAAAAAATGAAATTATTTTTCAACGCGTAGCTTTACTATAGCTGTCAATCAATTTATTAAATTACGCGACCATAGATTATATAAAAAAAGAAACATACCTGTGATACATGGCTATACTGTGGACTGCTGGCCATTTTTCTCGTACTTCGTCACAAATCGCCTTCAGCGCCTTCAAAGCCATGGGCTCGTATGCTTCGTATTCAAGCCTCAAAACCTGCATTTAAAAAAAGACTTAAAGACGTACTCTCTTCGACTTCAACCCAATATGAACACAGTCCGCAACACCGACGAAGTACTGTAAGAGCGAATTGGTACACACCAAAATTCTTCTCGAAGTTTATGAAACTAACTAATGATACAGAAATTTGTTAAACCATTTAAAAAAATATATCCTACAGACCCAGGGATTCAAAACCTAGAATCATGGATATTCAAAATGCTTTTGTAGATTCTCGAGATTTTGTCGATACAACCATTTCAAGGATTTCCTTGAATTGAGAACAATCTAAGAATATTGCGATAATAAAAAATGTATGTTACATTTGGTTGTATCGCAAAATTCTTATATTTTTCTGTGTTCAAAAATCGAAACAAAAAACATAATAAGTAAATAATTTGACGTTAGCTACGCATGACGATTGTAAGATACAAGTTTGTACAAAACAACATGCTGTCTAGGCGTTTAAAAAGCTGATTAAATTTAGAAAAACTGATTTAACAGCCAATTAACGTATTATGCGTCGCTTTAAGCTGTACTGTTTTTTTTTGCAATATAGATTAGACAAAGAGAAGATCTGACCTACAAGCTGGCAGCTAGCACTGCGAGCGCTCTTTGGTCAATTCAAACAGCCTGCACTTCCCCGGTTTCGTGTTACCTACTTTCGTACCTGTTCACAAAATCAGGATTTGCAGGATAGAAGTTACTTTTCAAATGCGTGGTACATCCACGATGTTTTGTTAGACAGATGTCCTACAAAGGATGTCCTTCATAAATGTCAGAGAAAAAAATGCTCGCCGATTTCTTAAACAATTACTTCGTTGTGTAAAGACACATACGTCAGAAAAGACAGTTTGACATATTATGGTTTTGGATTTTATTTAAAATACAAAAGAATTTTTATTCATGTGAAAATAATTAAACGTTCTTTTAATTCTACTAAGCAGTCTCTCGTAATGAAATCGACTGTAAAATAGTAATAATATTTAGATTTTTTTACTTTGTTTTTACCGGGTTTTTACAACATAATAATAATAATAACCTCACACATCTTACACACCGCTCTCTGATCCCAAACTAGGCAGAGCCTGTACTATGGTAAACCAGACTGCTGATAAATGTTTATAATTTCTTATATATTCCTAAACACAAACATGTTTTAAATAAATTTACACCCAGACACAGAACAAAACGATCGTGCCCATCACACAAATATTTGTTCTGGGTGTTCTACTGCAAAACCGGAGGTCGTGGGTTCGATAACCCACGACCTCCGGTTTTGCAGTCAGGGTCACTAACCACTAGACGAACAGGCCCGTCAAAGCACACTAAAATGTTCGTTATCAGTAAATTAAAATGATGAAGAAGCGCGTTTGTAACTCTGATTCGGAGAACACCAAGAAAGAACAATGGCAGAAACATATTTACCTAAAACTTAAGCGTTTAAAAAATCGAGTCACAGTAAACTTAATCAAAAATTTTTCTATGATTTATCATTACACCACCATGTGTTGTATAAGTCTTATAAAAGATAAGATATTTTTGAAGATTTTATTTGACCTAAGTACGTAATGTCAGATTCGCCATCACGTATAACTGACTAGGGATGCGTGGTGGCAATATTATATTATGGAACAATTTATCGATAATCGATTCTTATAGCTTTGGCTGAAATATTTACCGAAGGTTCACTATTATGATTATGAATTTGCTTCTGCCCACGTCTTCACTCGTACGGTAGAGTGACTGAATCAACATAATTAGAAATGATTTAAAATATTTTTGACTCTCTTTAAACGATTTTAAACACACTAAAGAAATAGAATATAGTTACGTTATTTTCCAATACACAGTGTGATGAGAAAACTACATTGTCATTGATAACGGCACATAAATAGACATACATCGATATTTTCAAATTGTCGATACGTCGTCGTTTAGTACATATCTCTTATTCTGTGGTTTAGATCCTGTCAAGTTCCGGACTCACCACGTTTGTTATTTTATTTTTGTTTAATTTAGTGTTAAACTCGAACAGATGTCATGCTTTTATTTTTTTATTTCATATACTGTAATAATAATGAAAATAATATTTTCGGCTATCTGACACACAACGCCATCTAGTTTCAAACAAAACATTAACAATATGTTAGTACTTAACCTCGAAACATTTAAAATCCAATATCTTTTTTCCTAGACTTCTTTCGCAAGTAATTTTGATATGAGAATGGTCAAGAATAAATTCTCAAGTGTTAAGGATTTTTTGATATTTAAACGCTAACATTTCAGTTCAAATAAAATTATGTATGGAGACCTGCCATTGTCCTTTATGACTATATGTTTTTATATTTCGACTATAGTTCACATTCGCATTATTCATGGCAAACGAGTTTTTGAAACTTACGAAACTTGTTAAACGGCTCCGATAACACAATAAGGTACTTTAAAGAATGTGTCTGGCCTGTTAATCAAGTGGTTCGTGAGGTATTGAGTTCGATTTCCACTCAGGACAAAAATTGTGTGAAGAACAACCACTTGTCCTGTGTTTGCATTGCTCTCTCCCCTTGGATCTTGACACTTCAATAAGATATACGATTCGCCCCTTTTTTGGTGGATTGATTCGACTCTTCATAAAAGTCAAATAGAATCTTAATATTTAGAAAAAAGTTTTGGTAAATCTATTTGCCTCTTGTTTTACAGTGAAGGAAAACGCAGTAATGAAACTTAAAGTATTCCCAAACTGAGAGAAAAATAATATACCTACATACCATACACACATACATATTTATATTAGAATTGATTATAAATAAGCCTGACATTGACTGACCTCCAATAAAGTACAAACTACTCAAGTCCGTCACTCTTTATCTACTAAACACTTTTGATACAATGTTTAAAAAACTGTCGCAGAAAGATCGCAGCTAATGGACACCTTTACAACCAGCCAATATATTTCCCAAAAGAATAACAAAATTAAAAAAGGCAAAGTCGTTAAAGAGTCGGCTAAAGTCAATATACCTATTTAATAAGATATGTTCTCAATTAAGGACGAAAGGACGAGTTACTACACTACTGCAGTTAGACGCAACGTACAAATGACACTAGGTTAAGACAATTCAAATCTAAAACCATCAATAGGTCAGTCATTAATGTAAAAAGTATTCTACTGCATGAATAATTAGGCATATATTAGACTGCATGAGACGAATTTAATTTTGTATTGACGTGTTGGCGCGAAATCAAGATTGTCGCGAGTATTGTTATTTAATTAAAGACATGGTAAGTCAGGCATTTTCATCAACGATAAATACGGCATATATTTATACAAAGGTTAATGCTCCAAATTCGTCACATATTAGGGTATCCAATATACTTCCGAGGTAGAATTGGGCGTTAATCAATTAACAAATAAATAAATATTTTTTGTAATTAATTCAAATGCAACTGTTATCTCTACTAATATTATAAAGCTAAAGAGTTTGTTTGTTTGTTTGTTTAAACGCGCTAATCTCAGGAACTACTGCTCCGATTTGAAAAATTCTTTCAGTATTAGATAGCCCATTTATCGAGGAAGGCTATAGGCTATATATCATCACGCTAAGACCAATAGGAGCAGAGCACCAATGAAGAATGTTTCAAAAACGAAGAAAATTTATTACTATTGAGAGACGCAGACGAAGTTGCGCGGGTCAGCTAGTTAATTATAATTAAACGTTTTGCATTATTATTCTTGCAATTTACAAGTAATTAAGAATTTAATTTAATAAATCACAATTAATTTTTGGCAGCTTAAATAATTTAAATTAACAGTAAATCAGTTCTGTACAGTATGTACAATAACAGTAACTACATACCTAATATATGTATTACATACCTATAAATACACCTATATGATATTGCGGCCATCACGATTAACAATCAATCAATTCTTAATCTCTAATTGTAAGAACAAATTTATTATTCATTTTAATATTGTCCTAAAACTGTTATAAGGTTAACAGCACTACCGGCAAACACATGACCACTAATGCCCAAGGATCAAAGCCAAAAGGATCAGAAAACGTGTTCCTATCCTATGTAGAACTAGGCATACCCACACAAGGGTTTCACTTCCTCTGATAAGGATCTGCATTATGCTAAATTTCGTCTGTTTAGAATAATAATTACAATCTAACAAGACAAATAAATTAAATAGGACATTTACCTTTTTTCCTTCGAAACTATCTCTTGTAGTGCCGATAAACATGGAGACTGCTCCGCAACTCTCATCAGTGACGAGTTCACTGACCTCATCCACAGACAACTTATCGACCGTTAATTTTAAGTGATCCATTCTGACTTGGACTATTGGTTCAGTGAAAAATATAGCTTATATAGTAACTATAATGTACAGGGAAGATACTTATTACAAAGTGTCTTTATAATCACTTAATCATACTTAACGAGTCACTTTAAAATAATATTGCAGATTTTAAGTGGATGTAGTATAAGCAAGAGATTACCCTCCACTTATTGGTGGTATGACAGCAATACTATCTCTATCACTTATCTCAATGTCAATCTCTTCCTCACAGACCTGTTCGTTCTTGGCAATTAAAATATTATTTTTAATAGTTTCCAAATTGTAATTCTTGGCCAAGATATTAACAAGTTTTTTGTAATTAATTTTTGAGGGTAGTTGTATAGTTGACTCTCTAGTGCCAGCTAGTTCTTTGGACTTTGCAAAAAATAATACTTTCACTGTTACTCCATGCTCAATTTCCATATTTTGATCTGAAACAAAAAGAGTTAAAGTAAGTTCATTTCATTCACTATTTTTAGTTTTAAGTAAGTAGCTTATACACCTAATTCAATTGATGATATAGGCATTGTTATATAGTAACAAACTTATATTTCAACAGAATTTTCACACATCTATACAAATAAATAAAATTGAAGTGTGTGTTTGTAATGTCAAAATAATAGGTTTTTTTCATGCTCACACGGTTCTTTGCACGGTGTTTGCAATGTAAACATGTTATTTACGACAAATCTTTAAAATTCTCATATAAACATTCCTCTTGAATCACTCTCTATTGGTGATAACCGCATTAAAGTCCGTTGCTTAATTTAAAAGATCTAAGTGTACAACACAAGAAAGTGACGTTATTTTATATGATGTAAAGATGGACCTTTTATTTAAACTTTTTAGATATCATGCACATTTTTAATACATATATATTTATTTAATTATATAAATTTCTTTGCCTTTAAAAAAAACATGGTATTACTATTAAAATTACTTAAATAGTGTAATTTTATGTTTAACAATGTCCACCATTATGAGGTAAGTATTGCACCTGAATGTAAAACTATGTTTATAATTAACAAAGAACAATAGTAATCCACAATTAAGTTACCGTAAGCAAATCAATTAATTATTATGGTGTAGTGATAGGACAGTATTACCATTTTTAATTTAACCTTAGCAAATATCTCCAATGTAATTATCATGTTAAAATTTAGTTGCAGCATTTCAAATTCCCAAATGACAAAACCCATATTACATTTAAAATGTGCAAATACAATATTATAAATAACCCAGCCATAATTTTTCCAGTAATTGGTTACCTAATGTGCAATGGTTTTGGTTTTGTCAATATTAAGATAATAAATAATTTTTCTATTCTAAAAATTTTTAATTTATATCCTTCGGTTAAACTGAATATATATACATGTTTGACTCCAACTAAAAAGCACAAATTGTGAGGTCTCATGTCAGTCAATGGCACGGGACTATGGCTATAAATTAAAAAGGAAGCTTTCGAGGACCTTAGCCACATGATAAGCAGATGATCACACCACAGTGATAGCAGTCATAGTCAGTCATGCCACTTGGCGTGTCTTCAGTGTAGTAAAGACTGTTGTTTCACCTCTCCGGCTAATCCTCCAAAGGGTCTTACTGTTATAATAGTGGTGTCTCCTGTGCTTGATGCGTCTTTGCAACTAGACCTTTACTTAGCTTTATTATTGTCTTTAAAAATCCAAAAAAAAAGCCTAAGGTAAATATAAATTAAAAAATAATTAATTAAAAACAAATTTTAAATATAAAATTCTAGATAGAACATGAAATAATTTCATTTGACGAGATAATTACGACTTCATGGAATAACTTTCACCGATCTTTGTATTACACAGACAAGAAATTCACAAACGAAAACATACCTACACGCCTTTCCACGTGAACCAGTTTTTAAATATTTGAAATAAGAACTTGCAGAATTCGCAAAAAAGAAACACAGTGCTAATAATTATCTACCGATGAACGCAGTAGCACGTCTGTGTCACGACGACCTCGCACATGAACTGTCGTATTGTATTATATTGTATGACTAACGACTACAAGTTGTAGTCGATCACTAAAATATATCGGTAAGTTCGAAGACGTAAACAGGTTTACAACCACTTTTGATGAACCGTGACGTTATAGTTGCGTCAATTTAAAAAGTGTATCACTCATTGGGTGTTCTTTTTTCGTAAATAGCAAGCAAAGTGATCATTGTTTTTTACATGAATAGAGGTTATGAGATCCGTGTTTATTTATGATAATTTTAACAACGATTCCAACATGGTAGTAGTTTTAAAATATTAAATAAAATTATAAGATACTTACGTACTCATTAAGAATATTTTAATATTACTTATCAACACGAAATTATTATTTTGAGATAACACATTTCACAACACAATTTTAGAATACACACCACTTGCACGCACTTGGTTATACTTGCACTTTGAAATGAAAAAATGACAGTTTGCACTACTACTGTTTATAAAGCAGCCTTTAAAATTAATTTGAATATTGGGACATACTTGGAGCACTTGACTAAGTATACAAAAAAATAAGCACCAAAAGCGAAGTCGGTTAAAAACAACAGAGTATCTATGCTAAAGGTTTTATATCTTGGTTTATAATAAGAGCAATCAATTTGACAATTGTATTGTTTTCATGAATTAATCTTTTCATAAAACTAAATTCAAACAACCATAAAAACTCAGCTGATCAGCTTCTCATTACTGTCATCTACAACAAGGCGGAACGCACAACGGAGAAGTTATTTTGAACGTTATTTGCGATAGCACTGCTACTTAACAATTTTAATAAATAACAATTAATCGATTTCTGGTTTACCGCAATAACTTTTAGATAAAATGAAATATATTACTGTAAAACAAAAATATCAATGAAAAGTAACTAAGAAGAGAAAACTACTCTCAACATATTTCCTTAAATAAAGACATGCTTATTCCAAGAATGTCAAAAGCTGTATTACTTTTTACAATCTCTTATCAATATTTACACTCTCGGAATATCTAATATATAAAATGTACGAGTTTACAAGCCGAAGATGATTCATTCGTTTAATACCCACTTTACTAGAGGTAACAGTCTGTCATAACGTTAAATGACCTGGTTTTGTAGTTTGGAATAATTGGTTCTCAATCTCGATACAGAAATTAAAGCGGCTCAGATAACCACCCCATATTTGAATGTAATAAAGACCAATGTTGATTTTCTTTTAAACTAGAAAATTTGCGTTATTTAGAAAATATATATCTTAAAAGTGAAATTAGTATACTTACTGACACAATTTTTTTTTTAAAGTTTAGAACATTATTTATATAGTCTAGACAAAAAATTATATGTCTTTGTAAGGGAATCATTTCATCAAAATATTTGTAATACGAGTACATTGGTTTTTGTAGAATACTTCTTCTGGTAGTTTAATCTTAAATAGTTACTTCATGTATGGTATAACCTCAAAATATCTCTTTTAAAAATTGTGATTGGTTTTTATGGTACGATAATATTTGAAAAAAATTTCAGGACCAAAATATATTGAGACTTGCTTGCACTCGTAATCTTTATAACTTTACTTTCGAAAAATTTTCAAACAATTCAGGTACCTTTCCCTTAGTAATACTAAAAATGACTATAACGATTTAAATTATAAATTATAGAGTAATTTTTCGTACGCATTAGTTACAAAAATAAGTTTTTCATGTAAAAGTCATTTACTGTGTTCTGAAGCAAAATGAACTTATTACTTTATTGGTTGCGTTATTGTTGTTGCTCATTAAAATTTGATCAAGATGATTTACCGAATGATGCAATGTATCAATCGATGCCAAACTTTGCTATGGATTTTCTACATATTTTAAGCTAGATGAAAAATATTATGAGAAGTTTTTGATGATGTCTTCAGAGGTTGATTATACGAAAACTTAAAATGGCAATTACTGGTTTTATTTTGTTTGGACGTCCACAAAAATGAGTAAATGAATTTAAAATTATTCAAGAAAATGCCAATAAGAAGATTTAGCAATGGGTAAAGAAAAAAATTAGGGATCCATTTAAAGAGGTCAAAGTTTTCTTTTACCACGTCTTATCGCTGTAGGAAAATTTATGTTAAGATATTCTCGTACTGTTCCATTAGGACAGGATAATAAAATAGCTTTTAGCAGCTACAAATGTTAATTTAACTGTTTATAACCGTTATGTACAATGTGAACACAGCCACTAGTTACTAACTGACATTTCAAATTATAAAAAAGTTACCGGATTTCAAACGGTCTGAAATCGGACGACGTATTTGTGTTTGGGTTCAGTTCAACAGCACTGCACTGCATTGCTTTTTGGCAAGATTCCCTAGGGCGCGCATTACGTAAAATGAACGTCGCGCTACGTGCCGCACAAAAAGGTTAAAAATAGACTTTCAGAGTGAGTTGCGTGTTCACATCACCGACATTTTTGTTTTTAAATGACATACATACGCGCGTCGCCGCCTTACAACGTATTAGAAATCTAAGTGAAAATATCTGTAATTGTCTAACTGTAAACAATGGACTGATTTCTTCGTTATAACTCACTCCAAATATCAAAACTGCGGGGATAGACGGCCAAAAGTGACCAAAGGACAGAATTTTTGTGAAGTGTAAATTTACCTAAGTGTTGCAAACAGTGGACCAAAGAAATGGCTCATCACGTGGAGCCTATGGATGTTGACAGTGATTTTGATAATAAAGAGAACAGTTTACATCATAACAATGTGCTACCATTTACAGAAAAAGGATATGATGAGTTGGATGTCTCAGAACTTAACATGAAACTAAGATACTCTGTCACGCCTGCGTCGTCACCTATGTCAAAGAGCTACACAGCCAATTGCTTCGATAACAGGAGTTTAGAGTCAGGTGACGATTCTGTAAATATTACTGTTAATGAAAATGTAAATTTAACTCGCTCGCTAAACTCATCTATGACCAAAAATGACAATGTATTAAAATCTCTTAAAGTGTTACCTCTTAAAACGATCCATACAGATCAATATGTTGACAGTAATAGAAATAATTCTGTACTTAGGCCATTAGAGTCTACAGTATCTTCAGACAATGCAAATATTACTGTGACAGTTAATGCTCCTAGCGATATTGATGAAAACTTATCTCTACCAAGCTCTTCATCGTCTACACTTCAAACCCCTGAGGCTACCACACCCACAAAAGACATTCCCCTGAATGATGGTGGTTCACCAATTATGCGGGGACTTAAAAGTGTTTTCAGTATGTTTAGATCATCGCAGAGTCCTATACCTCCAGCTGAAATTGAAAGTTTAGTCAAACCTACAATAATTAGTAATGTCAATGAACATGACTCGACACAAGGTCAGTTGCAAGCAGTGTTAGCATCTACACCAATTGCTGCACATCGAAAGAAAGAACTAAGTCCTACTAAGAGGAGCAGCCCGCAGAAAGAAAGTAATATTGTATTTAATGAAGACCTCGAAAAAGAACTGCAATGGAAGGATGAAACTACAATAATATTTAGCCAAGAACGGATTCCAATACATAAATTAATGTTCCAACAGCAGGATAGCAATAAAATTGGTAATAAAGAAATGATTGATACACGTGTACAGGATACAAATGATTTAAATTCCACTGTTGAATATATGGACATTTCTAATAACTCGATCAGAGACACAACTGTTACTAATATTAAGGATGATAATATGCCAGCTGACAGCACACTTGCAGCTGAATCGGATACTGAATTTGTTGACTGTGAAACAACATTCACAAAGAGTGAGGATAATGGTATTGAAGATGCTAATACAACTCCTGTGGGTGACACATCTGCAGACCTGAATATAACACAAGTAATAGAAAATAAAAATGAGAGTGGCTCTAGATTAAAACAAATAATTTTAGATACTACGCTAGACATTTTAAATGCAACTCTTTCTGTAAAACCTGAAGATTTGCTTCCAGAAGTTTTAGACCAATCAAAACATATCAGTCCTACTATTGACAATAAAGCAACAATTGAATTATCTAAAGAAATCAATGTAGTGGTAACTTTAGAAGAAGATCCGAATGCTACAAAGGTGTTACCTGAAATGTCAGTAACTCGGTCAGCTGATGAAACATTTGATGCCACAATCTCAGATGTAGTTCAGGATAAAGATTTAGAAATAACCCAGACCGAAGAAAGTACTTTCAACGTGACTTTAAAGGGAGACAAAGATGATCAAAATTTGTATACTACAATAAGTGAACCTTTTTCACTAGATAGTAAGTCCATTGAAGTTCAAATTTCTTTACCGGTAGACCAACTGAATAATATTTTAGATATAGATTTAAATAAAACTAAACCTAACAGTTCAGAAGATGTTAATGAACATTGTGTATCATCAACTACAGATCCTACTTCAAGTAAGCACACAACTGAAAAATCACTTTCTAATGAAATTGAAGTCAATACTGTTAGAGAACCTTCTGTGAATGAGTTACCTGTTAACATTCCTCTTCCAGATGAAGATGACCTTGATAAAGAGTTAATTTTATCTGCAGACATAACAACACCTGCCATACCTGAAAATCAGCCTCTTGATCTTGTGGATGATATAAAATTGTTATCTGAATTTATGGAACCTCTTAATACTCTATATTCTGATGTGCCATTGACAGAGGCTGTACAAAATACAGTTAATGATTTTTCACCAACTACTGCTATAGTTGAAGATAATTCTTATGTCAACAGTCAAACAACTAATTTACATCACAGTATAATAACAGAGCCGCATGACATTGTTAAAGAAAATAATGAAAACACTGATGATTCAGAACATGCTAAGGAAATAAAGAATGTTAACATATTACCAGAAGTAAGCTTGTTGTATAGCAGACATGCTAATGAATGCGAAAACGTGAGGGATGCCACTACCATAGACAATGAAATAAATGTAATTAATAATGTAAATACAAATTTTGTTCTTGAAACAAATGACAATGGTTGTAATTTTGAACCTTTGCCTGATATTGTTAACCAAACTATCGCTATATCAAACACAGATAACATCAAACCACCAGTTATTGTATCAGAAGTTTCAACACTAGAAGAAATGTCAGATAATGATAATATTTCCAATAAGACCATTGATCTTGGAGTTCAACTACATGGAGTAAATGAAATAGAAGCTCAAATATCCAGTGTAAATCAGTCTCAACTAATAAATATAGCTGTTAAAGAAAAAAAGGAATTGATTCTTACTTCTGATTTTAATACATATAATATGGATAATCTACCTAATGATATGAATGTAACTTGTACCATTAATGATAATATTGAAATAAATAATAGTAGAAATAATTCTGAAAGAATTGAAGGAACTTATCCCATAAATGAATTAACACAAACAGTTACTGAAAATATTACATCAGTTATGGAGGACCAAGATGGAGTTGCTCAAAGTACAACAGCATTAGAACAAGAAGTTGTGCTTTCTGGCAATAATAGTCCATTCACCTTCGTTGAAGCCATAGAAACGGAACCTAAGGGAGAGACTGCACTTAAAAACTTACTTGCTCCAGAAACTAAGGTGGTATGTACACCACCTAATTCTCCACCAATACAGTCTAAGGGTTATAACTTTAATTTTGATGATTTAGCTTTTGAAGCATTTGCTACCAAAACGAATATTGGGATCTCGCCACCGTTTAATACGCCAAAAAAAAGAACTGAAGCTAATATTCAACCTAAAACTGTTGAAAAACCTATCCCCAAAAAAGACACTAGACGGAAGACGCAATCTGATAGAAAAAAGCCTACCACACCAAAGACAAAGCTTAATTCGACATATCATAGCTCACTGAGTGATATTACCACCAATACTTGCACTGATAACCTTGATATTGGTCCAGCAGAAGAGATTCAGGTTAATCCACCAGATACTATTGGTCTGAACCCAAACAATGAAATCATTGATGAAATATTAGTAAATTGTACTTCACCAAAAACAAAGGAAAAATTAGAAAATGTATCAGAGATTGTAATAAAGAGTGACTTGGAATCAAGTCAAATGGAAAAAACTGTATCAACTGAATGTAATGAATCTAGCGTTGAATCTAATATAAATCAATTAAAGGGAACATCATCGTCTGAACAGTCTACGTACGGCACTGCCAGTGACAGCAGTATTCCTTCTAGAAATGTTTTCAATCTACCCGAAATTGACGATATGAACTTTAACCCTTTTACTACTAAATCTAAAATGCGTGAATCACCACCCCCTAGCCCAAATGTAGAGACCAATTGTGCGAAAATTTCTTCTGTAAGCACTTTACAATTAGAAGAAAAGGTTTTTGGAGCTGAAGATAAAGTAGAAAATGAACTAATGGAAAAGGATGCTTCAGGGGATTTGACCTCCACAACTATTTCATCTAAAGCAACAGACGAAAGAAATGTAACGCCCAAAGAGATTCATACTGAAGATGAAGACACTATGGAAGGGCCTTTTCTCGAAGTCGATGATCTGAACTCTGAAGATAAAATGTTGGAGTTTGATGACGAAAACATTGATATGATGCAATTTAATGAAATACCGCCACAAAGTAATGAGGAAAATTTGGACAATGGTGAGATGTTCATTGATGCAGAAGCATTTGAATTTCTTCTAAATCAAAATAAAACCAACACTGTTGTGGACAGTGGTAAAGAAAGTTTATTTCTCAAATTCGATCCTTTGTTTGCTAAAAGAATGTCCGCTATAACGTCCGATGGTGTTGTTGCTTCTTTGGCCAAACTTCAGAATAGACAGAGCACTCCTACAAAACTTGATCAAAGCTCGCCCAATAGTATGCCAGTTGCTGGACCTTCAAACTTAAATGAAACCCAAGACATAGATGTTAGCAATGCTGAAGACTCGACGGATGATATCAATATTACTATATCGAAACCAATGATGGTAGTTCCACCCGCTGTTAATCCCGTCACTCCTCGAAACAAGTCCATTACGCCTAACAGATCAAATAGACGTTCTATTACATTCACATCTCCTGCCATGGCTGTTATTGATCGACTACTGTCTTTGAGTGGTAACACTTCGGCACTGTATGATACAACTATAACACAAGTCAGTAGGGAACAAAATGAAGCTGATATAGCACTCTCACAATTACGAGAATTATTAGCTGAGAAAGAAATTAATGTTTACAACTTAAGATCTGAAAGCAATGAATTAAAGGATAGATTGAATACATTAGAATCTCATGTAAGAAGCCTTGAAACTGAAAGCCAAGACAGATTAAAGAAAATTAATGATCTGAATGAGACACTTGTTGAGAAGACCAAGATCAATAGGAGTATGGCGGCTGTAGTTGAGGAATATGAGAGGACGATAGCTAGTTTGATTGCGGAGACAGCGCAAGATAAGAAAAGACATGCCGAGGAAAGAATAAAGTTAATCAACGAGAGAGATGAGCAGACAGCCCACCTGGCAAGTATGGAAGTATCATTCAGCGATCTCCACAGCAAGTACGAAAAGAGCAAGCAAATAATACTAAATTGCAAAGCAAATGAAGAAACATACAAAAAATCTATAAAAGAATTTGAGGAAAATTTCACAAAAATGCAAAATAATTACGAGCTGCTTAAGCAACATGCAACCTCCAAATTGAATCGCGCAAATCAGGAGATGGAAAAGATAAACAGGGCACATGAGGCTGAAGTGTTAAAACTAAATGCCATGATCAAAAGAAAGGAGCTGCACATAACTTCACTAGAAGAATCCCTCATTCAGAAGACCAAAGCGAATGAAGAGCTTACAGCTATATGTGATGAGCTTATTAACAAAGTGGGATGATTTTACGATTAAACATGACTATTGCCGAGACTCGCTTTTGTGCTTATCTTCAGATAGGTTACATTAAGTCACACCTAGTCTCTTCGACATTGTGCCAAATCATTTTAGAGTAACATTTTATATTCCTGTTTGTTTATTATGTACACAAGACTGCAAATTGTGATAATTCGAGTTCTAAAGTCCTCAGTGTAAACTTATATGAAATTCAATAGAGATTACGAAATGTTTTCCATAACTAGCACGATTGAATTATGCTGGACATAATTAAAGCGTGCATAAATTAACACCTACTCAGAAATAGAACTTGTACTAATAGATCCAAATTTATATATTTTTTCAAGTAACTGTTGTATGTATTAAAAAGTATCTAATTTTTATTTAAGTGTTTAAAATTTACGTCCATATTTTTCGGAGATTATTGTATCACGTCTGACGATATTTTTGTAGATATATTTGTGAAAAATTACAGTAGATGCTAGGTTTTAGATGTATAATGTTTATCCTGTGTTTATGACCAGATTAGACTGCTTTCAGACTAATGTCGTAAAATAAAGCTACATAATTTATGGCCCCGTTTCCGCCTGCATCGTTTGATGCGTGTTATGGTAAAATGAGTCTTCTATATATAGACTTAATTCCTTACATTAAGTTTGTCTCTCATCTCATAATGTATCATAGTAGATCTCTTACATACTGTATTTAATTTGTTATAAAATGATTTTTATTAATGAAAAACCTTTAAAATAATGTAGCAATACTTGTTTCCTATGCATGCTACACAGCAGTGGTGTGTTACAGCCATGAGGATTATTTTAGTTAATAAAGTTGACATTTTTTCATTATTATGCGTTTTATTTGTTTTCAATTATGTAAATGTCTATGACGAATTTCAGGTTTTACGTAAAAAAAATGTGTACAATTGTGTATACAGCCTATTGGTAAGGTATAGGTTTTAAATACTTGGTTTTGTTTTCTAACATTCATAACGAGTTCGTGTTTGGAACTGTGCCCAGTAAGACGAATATAGGCTTGCCACCTGGGAACCCAGCACACTAAGTGTGTACGTTTTGTAAGTCTTACAAAACGAGGTCTTTAATTTAATAGGATTGTAATAAATCTCGGGTGAATGGGATATGACGCTTTCACTCCAACCATCGAGACGACTGCAGACACTCGCTCTGGACGGTCGTAATCATAGGTGGAATTAACAGCTTTATAAATAATTGGTCTCCAATAGATTGCACAGCTGCAGACTTTGGCATTGGGGCGGAGGCTATTGCTCTGGTGGTTACTGCTCCTGACTGCTAAGCCAGAGGTCGTGGGTTCGATTCCCACTCAGGACAAATACTATCATTTGTTCTGTTTGTGGGTGTAATGTATTGTAAAAATAATATGGATATTTAAAAATATATATAAGTATGTTTATCAGCAGTCTGGTTAACACACATGCCATAATCTTGTCTTCCTTACCAAATCCGCCAATATGAGAATTATCGGTAACATATAATATTGCGTGGTTTATGGGTATTTTAAAAGTACCTATATAATGACACATGTATTTTGTACTGTATGTGTTTACTGTATAATGTTAGTTTTTATCAACTTCGCTTGATGTAGCGTCTGTTGCATTTTAACAAACTTCAGTAGTTTTCAAACGCATTATAATCAATAATTGTAAATGGCTATGTAAAATGTTAAATAAATAAAAAAATACAAATGTATAATGCTTAAGCATCTAATAAATATAATATACTTTATTCGTTTTTCGTGTTGAAAAATCCTTGAAATACCAATTATATTTGTGCTTAGAGAACCGAGGCGTTTTCAGTAATCTTCCTGTTTTGTTGATTTTGTAGATAATGTGAGAAAATAATCACTTATATCTAGATTTCGTATTAATAAGAACATTTCCCACTAATTATGGCGTTTATTGTTTAAATGAATCTCGTCACCTTGCAATTATGAATTTAGTTAAGATTACGTAAACTTTTAATTAACTCTGTTATTCACAGATGTTATAAATTTTTATTCTAACACTAGCTGGTACCCACGACTTCGTTTGCGTGGTTTTTGAAAAGTGCTGCTTTAGCTGCCTGCAGTCCATGAGGCCTCGGGTTCGATTCCCGGACCGGACAAACGTTTTATAGGGTTTTTTTGAGAGGAAAAATAGCCTAAGTTCCTCCTTTTATAGACAGCTACTTGGTAGTAAAATATTATCAAAATCGGTCTAGCCCTTAACCCGAACAAACAGACAGACAGAAAAAAATTATACTAAAACTGGAACTGAAAAAACCTGTGATTTTGACATTATAAACAGACACTTCAATTATATTTATTTGTATAGATTAGTATATTTACTAATGTGAGAGCTTAACGTGAATGCCGTTTGTCTTTATACGAATACTAAGTTTTGTTATGTATGGTGCAATAGGGTTAGTGGCCGCAATAGCGAGATCAAAATAATAATAATAGTATCAACTACACACATCACAACACACACACGGCCGTCTGATCCCAAACTAGGCAGAGCCTGTGATATGGTAATTAGACTGCTGATATACATACTTATATATTTCTAAATATATACCTATTATAGACTAGCGCGACTAGACTATTATAGACCCGCGAGTTCGTTCGCGTGGAATTATAAAAGTTAGTCTTAGCTTTCTTAGTGAGTTTGGTTCCCGGACCCGGCAAAATTTTAAATTGTTTATCTGAGAGGAAAAATAGCCTAAGTTTCTCCTCACATAGACAGCTACCTGGTAGAAAAAAATATCAAAATCGGTCCAGTCGTTTAGAAGATTACCCGGAACAAACAGACAGACAAAAAAAGCTAGTTTTTAGGTATCGTGCAAATAACCGTATGAGTATGAAAACAACCTATTATTTTGACATTACAAACAGAAACTTCAATTTTATTTATTTGTATAGGTTAATTACTACCCGACAATAAATAATCGTGCTCATCGCACAGTTATATTTTAACCTGAAGGCTACTTCTCGTATGAAGAGTTCGGTTTCAATTCAGTTCCGATCAACTTTCGATCTTAGAACTGACATAAAAGGTATTTTCTTAGTAAATTATTAAACGTTCAACGTTGACTGTAATGTGATTATATCGTATTGTAAACGAAAATTGAATACGTAATCTGCTAGTCTTAGTAATACTTTACTATTTTACTACGAGAATGCCTTTTATGACAGTTATGAGATCGAAAGTTGATAGGAACTGACATGAGACCGAACTTTTATTACGAGAATTTGCCTTTTGGGTGGGAATCGAACCCCTCCGGCTTAGCAGTCAGGGTCACTTACATTCTTTTTTTCATCGAGTGATTAAGGTTATCGGAGCCAAAACGCTCCACCTCCCCTTAATTCTTTAGGGAGAGACTTGTGACGCTTGAGTTGCAACTGTTCAGGGGCGTCGCAAGTCACTTACCATCAGGGGACCCATCTTTTCGTTTACCTCTTCTATCATAAAAAAAGACATTATATACATTAATAATATTTAGCGGAAAGGGTAAGCAGACGCGTAATTAAAGTCCCCATTTTGAGACTCCACAGATGGCGTAGTGGTTTAAGCAGTCACCTCGCCGCTTCCTACTGTGTACTTTCAACATTTTGTGTGGTCCACAAATTATCTTTTGTATTCTTTGTATCCATTTCATGTATGTCTGTAAGGTCCTCCGGATATGTTCCTAGTGCGGGAGTTTTCTTGTAAAATAATAATAATAATTTTGCCAACTAAATCTATCCCAATCACGTAATAGGATGGAGCCCTCAAGCCGTCTACCAAGAACTTTAGAAATTACAATTATCATCATCCTCAATAGCCTTTAATAGTCCAGTGCTGGACATAGGCCTCTCCTTAGAAGGTTTTGGCCTACTATACCACGCTGGCCAGACGGTTTGGAATAGGGTTTGTTATAAGTTTTCCATCTCTTTGTAGTATTGTTGTCCTGCGTAGTTTGCTCCCTTAACCGGCTCGTGCGACACCCACAGGATGATTAGGGGTGTGGACACTCCGTTTTCTTAAACCGTCACCACACGGACGGTTATGATTATATAAAATGGGAAAATTAGATATGAAAGTTGATACATGGGAAATGGGGAAAAAATATTATTTATACGGATGGATTGGGAAATATCGGGCATCGCATACCTGTAACTTTTAACTGCGTGTTGCGGGGAAGTCGAACCCCATTACCTATTATTATGGCTTCATATTGGCAGTGGTAACACACGTGTCACCTGGGCACATTACTCTCTTGTATTTCCTTCAACCGCAGTAGAGGAATAGTCCGCGTGGAACATATTTATAATAATAATATTTCGGACATTGAGATATCGCCATCTAGTTTAAAACTAAGCAGAGCTTGTACTATAAAAGCTAGATTGAGTGATAGAATACTTATATACTTTTTTTTTGTAAATACGTACATATTATACATAGAAAACACCAAAACTCTAAAACAAATATTTGCAGATCATTCAAACTTCTAGTGCGACCCGGGAAGCGAACCCGAGACCTCAGCATAGCAGTCGCATACACTACCACTGCACCACCGAGGCAGTAGACAAGTGACAAGGATTTCCGTAGGCAACAGATTTCTCGCAATAAAAAAAAAATTAATACTGTTTTCTTACCCATGACTATATTAGCCACTCGTCGACACAGTTTTCTTGGCACTTGTTTGGCGGCTTTTGGCTTCATCGTAAGTATATTAGTTGAGAGAAGCATCTTTTAATGGAAACTATTTAGAAAATAATTTACATTTCACATCTTAATTTCAGGTAGAATAGAATAGAATTAAACTTGACTGTACACTAACAGAATTTAATCAAGGAAGACTTCTGGAAAAATTTTGCTTAGGGAGGCCTCAAAGCATATAGGTTTTTTTCGGGCAACCTTTGGATGGAAAAAAGCAACGATAGCGATAGGTAATAATATGAGATCAAAGACAATTTTGATGAGTAATATAGGAGATATTTCATTAAGGTTAAAATAATCATTAAATACTCCTACAACATACATAAAGCATTTACAATAAAGCTAGAACATCGCATCTTAATACAGGGTTGAAATGTAGAATTGGTATCAAATGAATTTAAAGGACCTTTAGATAGTTATTTATAAAACTTAAATACGCTTTCCCGTCATTGCAGCTCATTCTGATTTATTATTACAGAACGGATTTATACGCATGTATTGGCTTAACCAAGACCAATGCTACATTTGCATTGCATGTGTAGTTATTTTACATGCAGTATACTTCACTTGGCATAATTAACATAACAATTTGGATGCAAAGAGCTGAGCTGCACGGATTTAATCGTCCATGAAGAAATGCATGCACACAAATGTAGGTTCCGCAGAGTAAACACTTTGTGCACATGTTGATGTATAGTGTGGAATATCCAATTTATGTCACCTATCAGTACCAGGCGGTGCCATCATAGTTTTCTTAAAAAAACATTGATGAAACTCCCGCCTTTCTTCAATAGGACTCCAACGAAGGAGGTTCTGTGCGGTTGCTATGGCAACGTGTGACAAACACTGTCAGACATTTTCGGCCAGTAGAGCTCGTAAGGTAAATAGCCCTGAGTATGCTCACGTTATGTATGACGAAACCGTGAATGTGGTAGATGCTAAAGAAATAGACAGTCCTTCGAGCGAAGAGGAAGTGGTTAAAGCGACCATGTCGAAGTTTAACCCACCAGTGAGGCATACGGCGCGACACGACTTCGACGACACGGACACTGAGACGGAGTCGGAACCAGAAAAGTTTTTGGACAATGGTTCTGGAGAAGACCAGGTGTGTATCTTATTACCTTTTTTAAATAAATCATGACAGAAAAGTGCCCTATTGTCTACATAAGAAACAAAAGCAGTTGTTTATAGGCAAGTTTAAATATAGAAAATGCTTTGCTCGTGCAACGTGGTTTTATAGTAAGTAGAAATAAAATCTCATGAAACGTGTTGCATCGAAGATGCGATGCCAATTTGCCTGTAACGTGATCAGTGATATGGAGTTGGCAGTGAGAGAGTAGAGCTGCATTGTATTACCGTGTTACTGTCGTAAATGAATCTAAAATTAAAACCTGGAGAATTTACAATGGGTAATGATATGTTTAACGTTAAACCGTTGAGTCATGGTAAAAGTAAAGTACTTAAAAATAATAAATTAATAATCCAAAACCTTAGGTATATGTTCCTTCAAGTTTTGCTATAATTTTAATCGCAAATAGGACCAACAAAACTTTTTTCAGAGAATTATAAAAAGTAGTCTCTGGTTATGATTAAAATCTAGCAGGTTTTTACCTATAATAGTCCACAGTTTGTAATAAGGTAAGTGTTACAATATTATGCATACAACATTTTTAAATAACTTTATGCCAACTCAATACAAGGTTACTTTTAATTAACTGCCTAAATTATGTAGGGATGCTCAGTACCATTAACAGCCAAATAGATAAACTTGCCTTTCACTGAATATATTAGGTATGTTATACTAGTCTTACGATATTTGTAATTGACGGGCTCACGCAATATAGAACAAATGGTAATAAATACTTCAAAATGATATCTATACTGGTTCATTATAGATATCATTTCGTATTTAATAACTTTTTAACCGACTTCGTAAAGAGGTTTTAATCTTTACTAATATTAAGAAGCCATAGAGTTTGATTGTTTGGTTGAATCCGCTACCTGATCGCAGGATTTACTATAGAATTGAAAAATACTTTGAGTGGTGGAGAGCCCATTAATCAAGGAAGGTTATACCATATCACGCTGCGACCATTAGGAGCTGAGCAAAAACGGGTTTTATAAATTTATTCCTTTTAAGAAATGCAGACAAAAGTTGCTCGAATCAGCTATCCTAACTGATAAATAAGATTTAAAACATCGTTTGGTTGATATGCAAATAATTTAATTTATTGCCACCTGAATTTATCTATGAAGTACTTTGATCAGCAACATTTCTTCTCAACTCTTCCATTGTCCCTACACGAAGAATATACTCGGTTAATTCTTACTCAAAACTTATACAAACCACAACGTGTGTGAGACTTAAAGGTAAACAATATATACTAAACGTGACCTTGTATAATTAAATAATTATGTAGGTTCAGCAGCCGTTACGAAACTTGAAAGCAAGTGTCATTTTATGCCGCGTTCAGTTCTATTTTATAATAGGTCTAAGCATGTTTTAAAGAGTAGATATAAATAAGTAACTGAATTATAAGCCCTATTTATGAAAAAGGTTTGCCTAAATCGGACTAGTAGAACCTGAGATTACTTTGTTCAAACATACAAACAACTTTCTAATATCGGCATAAGTGTTTCCGATAAACCGACTGCATTATTTATATTTAAACTAATGCTTCGCACGGGTTTGACCAAGGCCTACGTAAGGCAACAGAAAAAAAAAATCGGCTGCAAATTATGTTTTTTTTCTTCTTACGTAAAACCTAATTAGGTTTTGTTGTTTATAAAAACCCTTTTATAAAATTATTTAATTGACGGTGAAAACCACATGGAAATGTCAAATATATTGAAGATAACGACTATGTAGATTCGTAAATCGACTTTGTTTTTTATAATGTATAGGTATTGGAAAAGTTATACGCAAAGCCATATACTGTTTCACAGAATCATTATAATAATCATTTATAGCCAACTGGTATACCTACCCGTTGCCATTTCATGGTAATTGTTTAAGTGACATCCACAAAAGTAGGTACTCGTAAATATTATAAGATTATTTAATTATAGTAAATCAATTATCGTTAATAATAAATCGTAGAGATTGCTAACAGAACTAGGCAGGCGGGAACTCTTGCCTTTTTTTCTTTTTTATGAAAAAGAGGGAATGAGCGGTATCTTTCTTGCGGTGAATGCACAAACCTGTGTCTTTTTTGGGTTAAAATGGACTAGATTCAGTCTACCTCTATCTGAAACTCCGTTAAGGAAATTTCAATTTCAGACACAAGTGTGTTCCCGAAAAATATGGGGGGCGGCCGGTATAAAAGGCATCTCCCGTGCTATCATCATACACATTAACATATGCATAGCAATGGATGCTACTAGTTCACAACAGATCATTGAAATGCAGAAGAAACAGTGAGGGCGATAGCTTGGAGGGACTCCAGCATTTGCAGACTTCAAGTCGAAGCACCGTCGATAACGTCCTAAACGAATCCCCCTACAAGGAATTAGGAAGCCATTAGGAAGGGAGCTTTGAGAGAAGCCTAATTCTAAACAAAAACTGGAAGGGCAACAATGCACTAGTGACTCCTGAGTTGCATATGTGTCCATGGGCGGCGGTAGACAAATGAGGTCGATAATAAAGGAATGAGAACTGAGACTGAACTGAGAAATGAGAATGATTAAAATTAACGATAAAATATTTTTCACAACGCGGAAGCTATTGTCTTAAGATCAACATCAAATAAATTTATTTGTGTTGGAACAGAATCTCTGGAATGTTTATGTATAGACAGTAACTATGAATAGCAACCATATTGTTTAGGTTTTATGGCGCGCCATTTGCTCTCCTTATTCTATAGCTAGCGTGGCGCCAACTATTTATGCTCGATATAAACATAGACAAAACTAAAAGGGACGAGTTCAACGATCAGATTTATTGTTGCTGATTATCCGTTTAACCGATCTATGTAGCAAAGAGTACACTAAATAGGAGGTATTTAGGTAGCAAATAGATTTTATTTCTAAACCATCAGAAAACTCCATCTGTAAAGCTGATTTAATTTAAGTATTTTGTTCTGAAGACAGTCAGTAAACGCATATTTTTATTACGCACTAGCTGGTACCAGCGACTTCGCTCGCGTGGAATTTGAAAAGTGGTGTAGTACTGTACGCGACTGCAGTCAATGAGGCCCGGGTGGGGCAAAATTTTGTAGGGTTTTACTGAGAGTAAAAATGGCCTAAGTTACTCCTTATATAGACAGCTAAAATATTATCAAAATCGGTCTAGGAGTTTTGAACATTACCCGGAACAGACAGAGAGACAGACAAAAATCTTTAAACTGTGAGCATGAAAAAACCTATTATTTTGACATTACAAAAAGACACTTCAATTTTATTTATTTGTATAGATAACTAACAAGAAATTGTATGAAGTCAAAATAAAAAAATCTGAAGGGTATTTATTTTTTACTATATTTTTGGTCTATCTATCATTACCGGTGTTACATTTCGAAATAAATAAATATCTAACGTTACTTCATTTTCATTATCTGATTTAAAAAAAAAACTGGTTCTTAATTCACAAACAATTGTTGTTTTAAAATGTTTGTTAACGCAGAACTCTGTCATTTAAGAACCGATTGTTTCTTTTTTAATATTTGAAAGTGCATCACCTGTTTGGTCCCAACCAAATTTAAATAATAATTTCGACCCTTAAGGATAAAGATAAGGAATGAAGAATCCCTACAGTTTATAACAATTAATTACCATGTAATGGCAGTGAAGTCGGTAATTAATTGTAATTAAAGTAAAATTATCTAATTATTTGTGATTTTCTTTTAATGCGATGAGGAGTGAAACGGATCATAATACTGTACGATCCCGAGAACTTGTTTAACAAGATTCCTGTGTCTGTTTCATGGCGCTCAGTTCGACAGTAAATCACAAACATCCGAAAAGTCGCCGGAGGAGGTGCAAAAACCTGTTCCTAAGGTGAGCAGTGGCAGGAAGCCGGTAAGAAAGAGAGCTGAGTCCTCGCATTCAGGTAATTGGTTTTCATTTTAAGTTAAGGTCTTTAATGTACCTACAACTTTATAGTATTATTTAAGGAATATTTCTGCGGATATTTAGACTTCTCTGTCAAATATTTGATTTGGATAGGTAGATATTGTTGTTCTGAATAGTTTGATAGAAATACATCTGCAATCGACATCGACAAAATCTATACTAGAGCGGAGCTGTGAGTCAAAGTTAGTTGGGATCAGTGGGCCGATGAAATAATATAAACCAGCATAGAATGGATGTAAACGGATCTTACTCTTTTCCAATTTTTTTTCGATGGGGCGCACTTATAGAAACTTTCAAAGAGCACATAAAATGCTAGTTATAATACTAGTTGAGATATATTTATAAGGCACATCCCCGGGATGTGCCTCAGACATGGGGTAAGGCAGGGAGGACTCCAGAACCCGCCGATGCGTTCCTGGAGCTTCTCCCGACTGTCGAGGTAGGTCGCCGCGGGATTTAGAGGGTAGACCGGTTCTCCGGGATTTCCACATACGCCCTGCGTTTCCCCAAGGGAGGGTACGATGTGAAAATATTGCCCGCGTAAAAAAAAGATAACGGAATGTATTTCTTATTTTTAAAGCCTTTGTTTGACGTAATTTAGCAGCGTTTGTCTCTTAATATAAATAGTTTTATGTACATTTCAACTCATGCACTGACTTGTGGTTTTAGACACAGATTCGTTAGATCTAGAACCTGAGCGTCCAGAACCAGTTCTGGGCAGTGGTCGCAAGCGTGCCGGGGTGGTGATCCCGGCCGAAGGAGCGTATGATCCGAAATTGTTCCAGGACCTGAAAGTGCCCGCCGACATGGAGAACATCTTCCAGTATATTATGAAGTAAGTAAATTTCATAAAATAAAATAAAACTGCGGAAAAGACCGATCATCTCTTTCTAGAAAGAGATGATCGGTCTTTTGGTCTAGTGACTTAATTATGATTCGGTCTGCTGAGTCAGAGGTTGTGCATTCGATTCCCACCCGGGAAAAAGGCCTTTGAGGAAGGAGTAGGCTCTTTTCTTGAAGATTTGATTCATTAGGTCTTTTTTATGTACCTATAATATTGTAGTATTTAGTAAATGTGTGTATCGGCAGTCAAATACAAACTGTACCCGGTTTGGACATCAAACCTCCTTGGGAATGTAACGGTTTTCTGACGGAACAAAGGACGAAGATAAATTGGGGTCAGCAAAAGGGGCTCTCCCTAGCTACATCATAGTTCAGGTAACTGAGGTTGCCGTAGTTCGAAGAAGCCAGGGTTCATCATCATCATCAAGAGTCTTTAACAGTCCACTGCTGGACATATGCCTCTCCTTAGAAAGACAAAGAGACACACTATATCAACATTTATATCACAATATTTAATATACTATATCAAGCTGGCCAAACGGGTTGGTGTAGGGTTTGTTTCAAACTTTCCTTCTCCTCCCTTCCGTATTCTTAATCCTTCACCACACGGACAAACCGGGTTTGCTAACCGTTCGCTAACCGTTCTGTATTCGGCGAGGCCACCAGAACAGTAAGCTAACTGTGTTTCAGTTCATCTAAATGTATCGTGAAAGTTTCTTCCAACGATAACTCATTATAATCCTATATAACGGACAGGATCGTGGGCGACTCCCACACCTAACCTTGTTCTCAGGCTGAACCAGACCTAATACTACACTAACAAAAGATTTACAACCATACTGCTTATGTTATAAAGTCCAAAATCTACTTTATATTCTGGTAGTAGAGATTAGTTTGAATAAAACCTAGTACATACAAGTTCTACAATAGAAATACAATCTTAAAACTTAAGGTTAGGGTACAAAATTGATATGTAGTACATTGTGATAAGGTCGCAAGATTCTAATTTTATGCACGTATTTGACGTATTCTAAATTAATGGAATACGTTCTGATTAAATATCATCACGCTGGTATTTGTATGGTCTTTTTAGTAGTTTTTCCTGTTCAGATGGTAAGAAGAGATGTGGTGGCGCTTTTAAAGGCCATTTGGTAGGGTTGTAAAAAAACATGTCATGCTAACAATTTTAAGACAAAACATGATCTCAATTATAGAAAATTTACCGATAAAGCTAACGTTCGTAAGACAGAGGACTGACACGGGGGCAAGTAGGTATAACAAGTATGGGTATTAGGTTTAGGCGAAGAAGCCCTAATTCTGTAAAAGCCCAATTCTCTAAATAGCTAATACTCTAAAAACCTAATTCTTAGAAGGGCCAATTCTATAAATGGTTAATCATCAAAATGGTACATTTTTCGTACCTACTTATTAAATTAAATTTTTTTGAATATATTTTATATATTTATATGTTTTATCGTCTTTATATCATTTATTTCATAGCATGCATGGATCCGGGAACCCTATTTATTAAGATTTTATAGATAGATAGATAATGCATAAGAGTAAATATTAATAGCGTCAGTTTAGACAAAATCAAGCCTCCCCCCTATTTACCCTCAATTCCCCCCGCATTCATTTCAAGAATGTTGTTAAATCTTCTATTTTCTTGCGATATGGAGAGAAAAACAGTTGCCTTAATAGCTGTGCAAACATTTCTGCTTACTTACATTGTTATCTTAAAAAGTACACAGACAAGGATATACTGCTGTCTTATGTAGGTAATTAACTAAATAAGTATTTTAAGCAACAACAAAAAATTCGTTTCAGGTATACTCCACAAAAGATTGACATCGACTTCAAGTTGCAGCCTTTTGTCCAAGAGTACGTCCCAGCGGTGGGAGATATTGACGCGTTCATTAAAGTGACAACCCCGCCTTGCAATGTCCGGTCGGCACCACTTACAGACCACGTGTTGGAGCACATTGATAACTTGGGTTAGTGGGTACTAAATATTTTCTCTACCTTATTTACCTCTTTTTCTCAAGAGATCATCATTATCATCTTCCTACCCTTGTTTCAAAATTTGGGGTCTTTGCAATTACTTTTCTTCTTCCATTATCCTTGATCACTCGACATCCTCTTTCACGGGTGCATGGACGGCTGCCTGCCTAACGTCAATTTTCATTGGGAGTGTAGTTGTTCTTTGTACATAGTTTGAAGTGAAAGATATTTGAGGATTCCAAACATCCAGGGTTTTTCCTATTGTCAACTTCTTTGCTGCGAGGTAACAATAATAATAATAATATATATCACACATCTCACACACGGCCGTCTGATCCCAAACTAGGCAGAGCCTGTGCTATGGTAACCAGACTGCTGATAAACATACTTATATATTTCTAAATACATACATATTATAGATAAATTACACCCAGACACATAACAAATGACCGTGCTCCTCACACAATATTTGTCCTGGATGGGAATCGAACCCACGACCTCCGGTTTAGCAGTCAGGGTCACTAACCTCTAGACCAACAGGCCCGGTTAACATTAATAATAAGGTCGTGAAACATTTCACACATCGCTATCTAAGTGGACTCAAACATAATTCGTATTCTTAACAACCAGCACGAGCAACCATGCTCCCCTCCCCAACTCCTGGCGGGTAAGATCACCCATGACACAGAATTATACTCTAGTGGAGAAATGTAGGTGAGTACAGGTAGACACATATTATTCGCAGGTTTAACAGTATTGGATGAGCCGGCGGCTGAACAGAGCGACTCAGCGTTACTGCACCTGCAACTGAGAGCTATCTCAAAAACGAGCAGCGCTAAAGGAACTGTGGTAAAAAAATACCTAACTTAAAAACTGAAATATGAAATTTTGAAAGTTAATGTTGGTATGACAGCGTCGCTATTGGCCATTTCCGTTTATAGTTGGAATAAATGGCTACGAATTTATAAAAGACAAAAATATTATTGTGACGTCACTTGCCGGTAATTTTGGCACATTAAATTAGAAAAGCCAAAAGCTATTTTCAGACTTAAGCTACCTCAAAATGATTGTATATTGTGCCTACTTATTTTTAAACTTTTAGGCAAGCATAAATAGGTTAACACTTGAAATCGTTGCCTCAGAAGCCCAATTCTCGTAATAAATGTTCGGTCACAATTCAGTTGCGTTCCACTTTTGATCTCACAACTGTCATAAAAAGTATTTTTATGTATATTTGTTCAGTTAACTAAGAAGATAGAGAACGCGGAGAAGAACTCTAAAGCCATCGAGAGATGGATAAAAGACGTCAGCGAACTGCATCTGTCCAAGCCTGCGCCTACCGTCGCATATAACCAGTAAGCATGGACAACAGATCTTTTATTTTTTATAAAGTAGTAATTAGTGTGATCATCGACGAGGCAGTTCACTTTACTCCTAGAATAAGGATCACTTTCGGGCTCGAAACCAGTCGGGTACTTCATATGCTGTTTTGTTCTATAATTGTTTAGATAATAACATTAAACTCATCCCCCCCCGATGAATTACCATTATTCTGTTATTAAATTACAGCAAAATGCCAGACATAGACACTTTGATGGAGGAATGGCCCGAGCCTATGGAGGAAACGCTGAATGAGATGGGCTTCCCTCCCGCAGCGCTGGACTGCTCCCTTTCTCAGTATGTGGACCTCGTGTGCGGTATATTCGACATTCCCGTGGGGGGAGACACGCTGAACGAAAGGATACAAGCCTTGCATTTGTTATTTAGTCTGTATTCAGCAGTGAAAAACTCGCAGTTGTACGCAGAGAGGGAAAAGGAAACTAGTGATAGTAACGTTTGAAGATAAGAATAAATAATAATTTTTGTTATTTACCTTGTGAAGTATATATTATGTGTATATTTATATCGTCAGCGCCATCTAGTGTGTATAAAAGAGAGTTGTGTACGTACACTGGTGGTCGCACAGAGGTCGCTACTTTACCATAGTTCATTAAAACTCGAGTAGAGACAAGGAGAACCATCTCTGTGTATGAAAAGTGTCAGTAAAACGCGTCCAATTAGGGTGGCGCTGCGGTAGCCTAGGATAAATTTATATTGGCTTAAGTAATAATTAGACACTGTGTATTAGACTGCAAAAATTAGCTTTACAGACAATAAAATTACCTGGCTGCAGTATGTCCTGAAATCAGTTAACAAACAGAGAAGTAACGTATTTCATTCTTAGTTATTTGTAATTAAAAAATAGGTATAGATAATTCTTAAACCCATGTAATTACAAATTACATGGGTTTAAGAATTATCTATACCTATTTTTTTCTATACATAAACATCAAATTTCGAGTATTTCAGCTTATTATGTATTTAATTCGACTAGTATACGCAGATAAGCAAGTAATTAAGAACCAAGCCCTGGCGGGCAATTTTTCAAGTGAGTAGAACTCTTAATTTAGTAGAGCAGATTTAATTAAACAATCACATTTGAATATTGCTAATTCATAGATAAACATTACTCGCTGGTTGTAAGTTTTAATTAAAAAGCAACTTAGATATAATATGAGTTATGGGACTACATGAAGTATTCTAAATTCAAATTCATTCATTATAATATATGCAGGTGTTCCCGCTGTGTAAAGTCATCAAGAACACAGCTGTACACATTGAAAAACGACTGCAAGGATGGTGTAGTAGTTTAAGCAGTCACCTCACCGCTTCCTACTGCGCTGAGTGTTATGGGTTCGATCCCCGCTTCGGACAACACTGTGAGATTCACAAATTGTTGTTATTGAGTATGGGTGTCCGTTTCATGTGTGTCTAAATTCCAATAAAGGATATCTTAGTAGTTCGGGAGTTGAATTTTAATAAAAATAAATAAAAGTACATAATGTTAAATTATATTTATTGTAACTCAAGTGAGATCTACATTAGGGTACTTGGAAGACTACATAGGACTAAAATATTACAATTATTCTACACACGACCATAGAAAAATATTTCATTTAACAAGTCTAACAATTTCCAAGTGTTTTATTACAGTCGTCTAATACATAATGGCTAACCGTTACTAATGTTTTATTTTATATAAATATACTTCGACTAATATCGACTAATATAAAGTTAAACCCTTTGGATACTGGCAGTTATGATTACATTATTTCCGACAGTATGAACATAGAGAAGACAATGGTCATACTGTTAGTAAATATTACGAGTATCTTTCTACATTTCGACCGGATCCTACCGGCTTTTGTCATTGTAGACTAATATACTAACACGCAAAAATAAAAAAGAGGTAGATAGGGTATACGCATTCTGATAGTTGTACATAAAACTGAGCCAATTGGCTTAACAAGAAAACATAAAGTGGAAATAATTTATCAAGTTTATTTTCTGTTTTAAATTTAAAAAAAAAAACATTTACAAATGTGTCATACTGGTCCCAAAAAATAAATTTTGAGGTATTTATTTTATTTATTTATTTAGGTAATATATTATTGTTATTTTTAATTCTTAAACATAGTTTTTTAGATGAGAGAATGAAAGACTAGAGGTACACACATTGGAGCCTTATTACCAAATAACCGTCGCGAGTTACTATTGCTAGATATTGCTTTTTCTTTCATTACTATTGCAAATTTTCTGGTCTCTGGGGTTAGTGGTTAGTGATCTTGACTGCTAAAACCAGAGGCCGTGGGTTTCATCCCAGCCAGGGCACTTAATTGTGCGATTAACATGAACGTCTAACTGTAATCTAATATATAAAAATCTCGTGTCACCGTGTTTATTATCCAACTCCTCCAAAACGGCTTGACCGATTTTTATGATTTATTTGTGTATATTTGGTAGATCTGAGAGCAGGTCTTAAGCTAAGTTTATACCCCTATGTGGTAAGGGTAACCCTCCCTAGATTTTTTTATTTTCATTGTAAATATATCACATGTATCAATTAAGAAAATGAATGGTTAGTGTTTTGTTATTTTTATAGGCCGTCATCGGTCACAGCGATCCATTCCTCTTGCAGTCATAGACCCTATCCCTACGTACTTACAATAAGTTAGTTTTTTTTATTTAACTACCAAAATATCCACTAGAAATAATCTATATGGCAGAACAACGTTTGCCGGGTCATCTAGTATATCTATAATATGTATGTATTTAGAAATAAATAAGTATGTATATTTTTCTAAGGAGAGGCCTATGTCCAGAAGTGGACTATTAAAGGCTGTTGATGTGATGTGTGTTTATCGGCAGTCTGGTTACCTTAGTACAGACTCTGCCGTTTTTGGGACCAGGCATCCGTGTGTGTTGTGTCCAGTTATTATTATTATTACAAGACATTTAATACTTTCTGTCTCTCTCTTGATCGTGTACTCTATCACCTCTATTTAATCGTGATGTAATGAATCACACGTCATGAAAGTTTATTACTTTTCAGTTAGACAAAGATTCTGAAGTGTTGCTGACTAATTGCGGAAACTAATCACCAATCAAATATTAAATCTCCAGATTTCAGATAGATGTCAAATCTTGGTTCAAATTTCGAATACTAAATTAGTGTTTTATTGCTTATGTACATTATCGAATTTATATAAGATTGTAGATTAGTTTTAGCAGAACTAACTTAAAAATACTAATGCAAACACACACTTTGCTTTATATATTTAAACGCATTTAGATACATCATACTAATTATAAACAAGAGTGATTTAAAAAAAATAACAATGTCTTTGAGAAATTACTAGTAAAGTGAATTACATGTTACTAATGTGGATTACATTTTACTGGTAAATTAGATCACATATTACTAGTAAATTGGATCACTTAGTTCTAGTAACGTGTAGCACATATTACTAGTAACTTCTACAATTAAACTTAATGCTAATGCAAGGAGTGAATTCGCGTCGGTAATGTACTGCAACAGGCTAGGACCCGCCATTTTCTTAAGATTTATGTTAAGTAGCAGACAGACAGACAGCGAGCAGACAGTAGTGTACGGCCGGCGCAACCGTAGTAGTGCCACGGCGTCACAGAAGACAGGACTTGAGTAATGATTTCGTTGTTTTTCAACAATTGACTGAGTCACTGGAGCCTAACCCACCCCCCTCTGCCCCTATTTCTTAAAATATATAAAAAAAGTGCAAGTGTATTGATAATAAAATGTTAGGTTGAACTTTATTAACAATTCTTACACTCGCAGTGTTTCTTGAACTGCATTATACTAGCTGACCCGGCGAAATTCGTGCTGCCATAATAACGGCACAATAAGTTTTATTATAATACTCGTAGAAACTCGTAACACTGGCACAAAACAAACACATCGACCGGTCAACTTAGATTTCAACGAATTGCGGTATTTTCAAAACAAACCATAGACAACATTACGTGAGATGTCAGTTGCTTATTGTTATACCATTTATTACAAATTAACGGCTAGACTGATATTTTTTTAATGTTTTTAAAATTTTTAAATAATTTATTATCCTATTCCGGACGAAGACAAATCCAAAAACACAAAAGTCATATAAATTGGTCGAGCCGTTCTTGAGTTATAAATGGTGTAACTAACACGACTATATATAGATGAGTATATGTATTGACACATTATGTCATAATTAATATAGATTACTTGCCACCTGCATTTAACAGAGACTCAATTTGCAAATACACTCCCGTCGCTTAGTAATAAACTTTAAATGAAAAAAAAAAAAACAAGAAACTATTTATTTTATTACCCTGTGCGCCAAGATCCAAAGGGCGCGTCCACACACGTAATTTGACAATTCCTACATATATTTACATTTAAGAGCAAATTCACAAAGCATCATATCACAGTTTTCCATTTTTGCACCCACACTTTCTATAATATAACATTTCACTGAAACGCCCCGAGCGCACTGTGATGTTTAACCGCAACGGTCTTATGTACACACATGATAATAACTAACGCTGTTTCTAAGTAATTGCATAAATGATCATTATCTCCTCAGAAAGAGGCCTATGTCCAGCAGTGGACGCTGGACATAGGCGCGACATAGGTTCTCCACAACAAACGCTCCTATGCTGCCCGCATCCAACGGTTTCCATATGACAAATATAATAAGTATACAGCAAGCCTGATGGTTAATGCATCCCTTGCCTGTGCGCTAATGCATATTTCATTTGCAATCTAGCGTGCGACACTATTTCGCATTGTGGAAGAACGGATATAATTTTTCCCTAATACAAAGAAGACTGCGACCACAAAGAAGAAAGCTGCGACCCAAGGGCTGATGTTGGGCAGTTGTATAATTCTTAACGGAGTAAGAAATTTTTATACCGTGATACAGGATTAGCATTTTCTCCATAGTTCGGTGTTTCTTCGTTAGATGTCGCTGAACTATGTTTTGTTTCTCTATATGTGGAAATCGACACAGCGTTAACGTCACGTCGTTAAGGTAAATTAAGACAATAATTCTATTCAATTGAGCATTTCTTACATTTATTCAGAACTTAGTGTGTTACTCGAATGAGTCACTGTGATTGGAGTATGCTTGAATCTTTCTCTGAGCCTTTTTCGAAACTAGGTTGGGTCGGCTTAAGTCTACTACGATACGGCTAAACTTCGAATTTTTACGTAGAGCGATTGCCATTAAACACCTATCGCCTAGTGAGGCTAGGTTGTCACCTAGTACTTGGATTGTGAACAAAAAAACCGTTGTGGTCAACAACACATTCTCACTTATACTTCGAGTATTAGTGAGAATCCTTTATATGAAACTTTTTAAGGGACTCAGACCTTGGATTAGGTATTCAATTTGCCCACATTATTACAGATCTCATGTATTCGAGATATCGAAGGTTGTACTAGCCGTAACGATTGCCACAGATATTGGTATGGTAACCGGGACCGACGGCTTAACGTTCTCTCCGAGGCACGTCAGGGTCTCAATGTGTTGAGAATGGTCACCCATCCATAGACTGACCTGGCTGTGATTGCTTAACTTTGCAATGTGTTAACCTACTCGGTTATCACTTAGCCAAGAGCCCCCGAGGACTATGGTCATAATGAGTATGTATTAACATTCTCACTTTAACTTCGAGTATAAGTGAGAATGTTAATATGAAACTTTTTAAGGGACTCCTTGGATTAGGTATTCAATTTGCCCTCATTTTTTACAGATCTAATGGATTCTGAATTGTGTCTAGGAATTACATACATAATGCTGTTGGATATTTGGCATAATAAGCAAAGGACTCCCTAGAGGGTCTTCCTGGCAAAAAAAATTGTTCTTACCTACCCCATTTAGATCAATTTAACAAAAAAACCGTTGTGGTCAACAACACAGTTGCCCAGTTTATAACATACATACTAAATACAGTCTCTCAAGTTCTGAGACCGTGTCTTTTAATCCACTTATTTTCACTTTTTTGTCATCAGTCGATAATTAACACACACTGTCAAAGTTGAAGATTATGTCGTTTGTGTTGAGAATTTTTCTCTTGCACTGTTCGCATCCTCTGCAATAGAAAAAAAATATGTAAACATATTTTAAATTGCTTTTCAATCAGTTTTAACTGGTTTTACATCAATGGAAATACAATATTACACAACACAAAAATGACTATCGAAATCTTACTGATATAGTTCACGAGATTAGTGCTTATATAATTCTTTAGCTGTTATATAGATAGATTATTAGGCTGCCTCGATGGTGCAGTGGTTGCGTATGCGACTGCTGTACTGAGGTCTTGGGTCAGATTCCCGGGCCAGACCAAATGTTTGTATGATCTGCAAATATTTGTTTCGGAGGTTGGGTATTTTCTATGTTTAATATGTATGTCTTTACAGAAAAAAAGTATATAATCAGTCAATCTAGTTTTTCATTTTATAGTTTGAAACTAGATGGCGTTGTGTGTCAGATAGCCGTAATATTAATATTAAGCTTTATTATACATATTAGTAGCATTCGTATAGGTTCTTTATAATTTTTGTTAATTTCATTCAGAATGGGTTATGGGGATATGTATATCCAGTGGTAGTACCGTACCTGGCTAGTGATAATGGAACAGGTTGAAAAGCCGCCTGTTGAAGGGGAAGCGCTGCTGCTTGAGCTCCGACAGCGGCTCGTCGTCGTTCCTGATGCAGAAGTAGCTGGTGATCACGCTGCGGCAGATCGGACACTTGTCTAGTTTTGCTGAAATAATATACAAACATTCCTTTGTTATATAATTCTTTGTCTCTTATGTTCTTGTATTTAATCCATACGAAAGTGTGTCTGTCTGTCTGTCTCTTTGTCTATCTGTCTGTTACGTCATAACGCTTAAACCGTTGAACCGATTTAGATGAAATTTGGTAAAGAGATAGTCCGAGTACCGGGAAAGGGAATAGGGTAGTTTCTATCCCAGAAATCATCCTTTAAGTAAGTGAAGAGAGGGGTGGAAGTTTGTATGAAAAATCAATGAACGAATGTATGAAAACCGCTGAATCAATTTAGATGAAGTTGGGTACGGACATTCTTGAGGAAAGACACAGATTATAACCGACATGTACGCGGGCGGAGCAAAAGCTAGTAACTTATAATTTTGATGCGAAGTTGTGCAATTTTTATATGTATAAAATTAACACATAAAATACATCCAATGCAACTGTTTACGAGGCTCATTGTATACATTATCCGTGTGGTGACGGGGTAAGAACACGGAGTGTCACTACCACTAATCATCCCATGGTTGTCATGCCGACTAAGCAAAACGAGCAAACACAGGACAACAACACTGGAAAGAGATTCCTTCTCTTTCTAGTGCTGTTTGTGCTGCTTGACAGAAACCAACCCGTCTGCATAGCGTGGTATAGTTGGCCAAAACCTCCTTTTTAAGGAGAGGCTTATATGTCCAGCAGTGGACTAATGCATGATGATTTGTATACTTGTATACACAGTGGGTTCTTAAGTTATCTGAAGGCCAATTCTCGCAATAAAAGTTCGGTCACAATTTAGTTCCGATCAACGCCCGATCTCGCAACTGTCATAAAAGGTATTTTCGTAGTAAAATAGTAAAGTATTACTAAGACTAGCAATTTTCGGTTATAATACGACATAATGACTTTTTTTTTTTTTAAAAGACAACTCCCGCATCAGGAATATATACATTACACTCAACGTTGAATGTTCAATACTTTAATATGATGAAATACCTTTTATGATAGATTGCGAGATCGAGAGTTGATCGGAACTGAATTGTGACCGAACTTTTATTACGGGAATTGGCCTTCTGTTAGTTTGTGGAGGAACGGGTGTCATGTCCCTCCACCTCAAAGGGAGGATCCTGCAACCAGGCGAGGCGATCAAGTTTGGCGGGCCGCGGCCGGCGTTGGGAAGTTGTATAAATGCCAATCAGCGTGCGAATTACTCATATCACGATACAGGATTAGCAGTTTCACCGTAGTTCGGTGTATCTTCGTTAGATGGCGCTGTAATATGTTTTTTCGTTTCGCCGTATGTGGAAGTCGCCACAAGTTAATTTAATTTTGCTCGCGACGTGGCATGCGTTAAATAGGTGTTTTATATTCTTAGTAAACAGTAGGTCCGTTTTTTACGATGACAGGTGATTCAGGTTGTATTCATTTTATAACAAACATAATTTATTTAATCGCGGAATAAAATAGTATTAGTATTAATGATTTACGTGATTATTTTGCAGCATTGTCTAACTTGCTTAATAAATCAATGGCAAAGTGTCCATATTAAACAGTATCTGTTAACTCCTTATTTAGAATCATTAGTCAACGATATTTATAGTCACTTAGGTGTGAAGATTAATTTGGGAATACAATCAGATTGAATATGGATGGTCTACGTAAAGAATATGTGGAATTATGTGGACTGTGTAGGTAGGGATCAGACGGTTGTGGACGACATGTGTGATGTGATACATACACTCACTCACGCCTTTTATCCTCGAAGGGGTAGACAGAGGCGCATTTTAACACCCACATTTTACCGACTATAGCTTTATTACCACTCACGTAATAGGAGGCAAGACAGATAAGGCTATTATTGTCATCTACTGGGCACATATATTTCTAAATAAACATGCTTATATAGTTTGAAAGACATACCTACATATCATAGACAAATTAAACCTAGACACAGAATTATCATTGTGCGTACAATATTTGTCCTTTTTTTTGGTGACGGGTGGAAAATCCCTTCGGATCTCCTTGGATATAAGAGCCAGGAGTACGTGGTGTTTCCACTAAAAACCGTCCTGCTCTATGGTCGACGCCGCACCTAACTAGGCCCTATCTCAGGGGAGGCCAGTAGCTCCCCCCAGCCGATCAGCCTATTACTAGATGTGGGAGGGAAAAAACCAGGATATTAATATTGTGATATATTATTACATCGGTGTCTTGATCCCTGATCAAGACACCGGTGGTTAGGGCTCCAAAAACAGGAACCTCCTATGATATTATATATTATTACCATGGAAGATATATTTTTCTTTCATAAAAACAATAATGTTGCACAACTCACTTTTATTAGTAATAAAATTGATCTATGTCACGAAAAGGTTAAGAGTCAGTTTGGTAGAGGTCACTTGTGAAGGCACCGCGCCTCGGTTGGTATTGGTTGATCACCTATTCAGTATTGGCGGCATCGACTCTCGGATGTAGGAACGGTTTCTGAATAAGAATTATTATGTGAGGCAATCCTTCCACTTTAGGATGCAAGCTATACTATACATTGATGTTATAATAAGCTATATTTTGTTTCTTTAGATAATATAACGTGGGAGAGCTATGCTTCTGCACATACTGATAGCTCGTCCGGAGTGTTACCAGGGCCTCACAGAAAACCGGTGTCACGCAGTGAGGTTAAAGCAGATCCAATCGGCCCCCCTCCCGATTCCGGGGAGAGGAGTCGCTGAAAGGGCAATAACAGACTAGTTTCTCTTGAGTTGAGAAATTAGTATTTTTAGGAAGCGGGTAAAACCTCTTTAGAACTCTGATTACGTAAAAACTGACCATCTAAGTTAAAGCTTATTTTGCTTAAGTTAGAACCTTATTTTGTAATCGTTTATATATTTTACATTATATTTATTTTGTCAAGGCAACACTGTGGAATGTTTTAATTGAACTAAACAAAGCTACATCATAAACAAATAAATAGAGGTTGGGTCAAACTACCTATACCTATTGTTTATTGAACGCATAGAGATATCGTGACATGCATAAGTAATATGAACCTAGAAACTATTGGAAGTTTAGTTGTTATTTCTTGTATCTACTAGTATTTTGCTTACATTTTATTAAATGTATAGTAATCGTGAGTAGAATGCATGAAAGGTTTGGTCAGTCAGGAGCGGGGCCCTGATATTTTAATAAAATCTGTTCCAGGAGCCCTCCTATTTGCGCAGAGAGTGGCACACCGTGTGGTTTTAAGCGGTTTGATTTCGACACACCGCAAACCCTGGTGGGGTGACGGCCCGAGGGGGCTTCCACACGCTAAAAAGAAAAGCAACGGCCTGTAACAATAGCTGTTACCCTTTTGTGTAAGTATGTGAGACCGTGTGGTTTTAGTCGGACTCAGTCTGACATATAGTGTGACTGATAGCACCCGTACAACATGTCTCATGAGGTTATCGCATAAAAAAAAGACAGCAGGCTCCAAGCCGGGCGGCGTTCTACTGGTAAGGATAATACTGTTAATCTAGTGATGAACCTGAACTACTCGTATATTAACTAGTACACTACAAGCTGTTTGTCGTCTCCCACGGTCGGCTGTCTGATCGAATCTTTAAACCAACTGTCACCCTTTGATGTGTTTTTTGGTTTGTCATTTATTAGACAATGCCTTTGAAAGATAGATACTTCAACACATCCTTCATAGCGATCTTTGATATTACGGTGGAATACACAGTCATAGATTCATAGAGTCATAGAATTTGAAAGTCTATACTTTTAAGCGTTCCAATTTTAAAATCGAAATTAGGTTTAAAGACCGCATTAAACTGTACCTTTCCTAAACATATTTTATAAAAACACAAAACCTATTTCTAAAATTACCTTTCTTTTTAAATTAATTTGATTTTGTGAACATCTCAGGTAGCTAAAATATTATAAAATACGAGTATATAGCATTAGTTAAACGTATACCTCAAATTGAAATTTCTGTTCTATTCAAATTTCGGTTCAATGACCGACCTGACTGTTGAACTTATTTAAAGGTGATTCGAATTTCAAGTAGTTTTTTTTTAATAGTGTAGTCTGTTTCTAAGTTTATGTAAACTAAGGGTGTACTCACGTAGGCAGCTGGCGCATAGACAAGCATGGCGGCAGGGCAGCAGCGCTCGTGACAGCGGCTGCGAAGCACACACGCAGCACAGCGCTTCGGCGCCTTCTCCTGTCTCGTAACCCTCTGCACCCGCGCCTAGCTCGCTGCTCACATACAGTTGCTGTGGACGTACATGCTAAGCTATTACTACTATTTATTACTCATCACCTCCTTTAAAAGCTTTTTTTAACGTGTAATATCTTTCGTCTCGCTTGCCTGCACCTGAAATAACAGCACTGAAAGGAGAAGGAAACTTGACACAAACCTATACCAACCCGTCTGGCCCGCGTGGTATAGTAGGTTAAAGAAGAGGCTTATGTCCAGCAATGGACTATTAAAGGCTGCTGATGATGATGTAACAGGAAGCCGGGAAAGCGTTACTTGATTCGAATGCTAGCCTGTTGCCGAGGTGGTGCACATCGTATGCCACTACTGTGAAAGTGACTCGTTTTTGTTAATGTATTATTTATTTTATATTCATTTTTTTAGGAAGTCCATTATTGTATTAGGGTAAACCTGTTAAGAAAGGGGAAAAATGTTTACGTAAAAAAATAAATTATAAATCAATTTTTATTCATTCGGTTGAACGTGTTAATTACTTGTTTGTTTGGTCTCAGGAACCACTGGTTCGCCTTAAAAAAATCTTTAGTGTTCGATAGCCTATTTATCGAGAAAGGCAATACGCCATATTATTATACTCGTATAACACTACGCTAGGACCAAAAGGAGGCGAATACCAAAAATAAATGATGCAAAATCGAACAGTATAAAAACAACTTCGTCTGCGCGGGTCAGCTGTACTATAATATAAATGCACCTCAGATACCTATAATGCTATCTTTGATATATTATAATCTGTTTGATTTAAGAAAGATTTATATGTACAACTTTTTGTCAACGGAGAAAGATAAGAAAGCATAATATTTTGATTTAAATTGTGCTAAGTGGTCACCGAGTAGGTTAACACATTGCAAAGTTAAGCAATCGTAACCAGGTCAGTCTCTGGATGGGTGACCATTCTTCACACATTGAGACCCATCCGTGCCTCGGAGGGCACGTTAAGCCGTCGGATTGCTATACGAACATTTGTGGCAATCGTTATGGGCAGTTGGAGCCCTAAAACCCCCGACAACAGTCTGTCTACAGAACTTTCATATCGCCTAGTACTTGGGTTGTGGAGGTCTCATGACAGTTCATCATCATAATCAACAGCCTTTCATAGCCCACTGCTGGACATAAGCCTCTCCTTAGAAAGGAGGTTTTGGCTTACTATGGCTCATGACAGTTACTTCACATAAAAAATCTAAGTTCAACTGTATTGTAGCAGACCTAAAAGCCGTTTCCAACCTAGTTTCGGAAAAAGGCAGGAAGGAAACAGGAAGATATCCAATTAAAATATTGCATTAAATTAAAATAAAACAAACTACTCAATGGTGTTTTACTACTTCGTATCAAAAGTTTTTATAGTCCCAGTAAATAAAACAGGGTAATGTATAAACAGAAGGAAATAGGTAATATTACGTTTAAGTGGTTTTGATAAGAGTGGTAATAATTAGTTTTGGTGTTATGAGCAAAACACTAAATTACGAGTAGTATTGGAAAAGAATAAAGCAAATATACCAGAGACAATCAATTTTATGTTTCAATTTTATAGCAGGGAACTTCTTCGTGGGAGAGCCATGCTTTGGCACAAATGAGCCGGCTCTATCGGCGTGATACCTCGGCCTCACAGAAAAAGTGTGTTAAGCAGTTTTTTCGTTGTTTTACACCAAGGGAGAGGTTATCGGAGCCCAAACCTTTTTCCTGATTCTGGGGGAGGTACTAAAAGACCAGTATGGCACTTGAAACTCTTAATTTTCAGATGTCCATGGGGGGCGGTATGTATTTACCATCAGGTGCCTCAACTTTTCTTTTGCCTCTCTATACCATAAAAATATAGGCCTCTTCTTAGAAATGAGGTTTCAAACCAGGGGTTAAACCTCGGGCACGCCGTCATCGCGGCGGTAAGACCCGTTATGGAGGATTGGCTCGAGAGGCGTCACGGGACCCTCTCATACCGACTGACGCAGGTGATCACTGGTAAAGGATGTTTCGGGGATCACCTGTGTCTGATCCGCATGGAGCCAACGCCTGAGTGCCACCACTGCGATGGCCAGACCGTGGACACGGCTCTCCACACGCTGGCAGAGTGCCCGGCGTGGGTTGAGCAGAGGCGAGACCTCGTGGCGGCCATCGGAGTGGGAGTTCTCTCGCTCGATAGCCTGATTACGGCTATCGTGCTGAGCGAGAGTGCGTGGAACTCTGCCGTCTCCTTCTGCGAGCAAGTTATGCTCGCGAAGGAGACGGCGGAGCTGGACCGGGAGAGGTTTAGGACTCTCCCGGCCCGCCAGGCCCGGGAACGGGCCAGGTACCGCAGGCGACTCAGGCGCCGGAGGACGCAGAACGACCTCCGTCCTCCATAAGCGCAGGCCTGGGGGTGACAGGTGAGGCCATCTGTCACCCTAGCAGAAGCAGGCCGGGGTGGCGGCGAGCGCGTTGCGAAGCGCGCTCGCTTCCAGGGAGCACAGGGAACATGGGGTTCCCACACGGGGGGGGGGGTCGTCTACTCGTCTGTAGATGACCCGAGGTATGTCGGGGCACCAGGGACTTCCTTTCTAGGGTATACCTGGTTCCCCGGCTATTAGTACCCGAGACGGCGTGCGGTTTTAGTCGGTTCGAGTCCGACATGCCACCGACAGGTGGTATCCGAGGGAATTTCCGCACGGAAAAATAAAAAGGGGTTAAACCTATATATTCAAATTCGAAGTATGAGTAAAATCTATTCTATTGCCGAGTCCTTTCGGTTGCGGTTTTTACCATAACTTATATTATTTTTCAAGGAAGGTTTTATATCTACGTAATTAAATTTACATATAATGCAGAAAAAAATTGAATTAAGTTTCCATAAAATAAATTAACATAGCCAATATTGGTTAAGCCTTAAGAGATACTGAACCATAGTTGATTAAAGAATTGTAGTTCTTCAAAATTACTTCCGTAGATAGCCGGGACGGGTTGCTGGTACAATATTTTAGCAAGTAGGTATAACATTTTTCCACATTTCACACACGGCCGTCTACTCCCAAACTAGACAGAGCCTGTACTATACTCGTAGTAACCGGACTGCTGATAAACATTCTTATATATCTCTAATTACATACATATTATAGATAAAGTACACCCACACACAGAACAAATCATCGTGCTCATTACACAATAATTTGTCCTGGGTGGGAATCGAACCCACGACAGTAGCAGCGTAGCAGTCAGGGTCACTAACCACTTGACCAACAGGCCAGTGTGTATTGTTATAGTTTCAAAGTTTAGTAAAATAACTGGATAAACCATGCCAGGGGAATTAGAGCAAAAGAATGAAGTCCTTAGCTCTAATTCCCCTGGCATGGTGGCGTGGGAAAAGATAGGAGAAATAGAACATTATTTTAAGTAAACAGGAGAAAAACAAGCAGCTCGATGGAGCAGGTTTTTTTTTAAATTTAAAATTATGTACCTTCTTGATTCATTGCAGTCGAATATTTCTAGCGGCTAATGTAGATACGGGCTTTGTTTATTTTAGTTTTTATTTGTACCTATGTGTATGTGTTTAGTATACATTTAAACATTGGAACATATATTTTTATGTAGATTAATAAAATTATATCTAAAATATTATTTATCTTGCAATTGGCTGCAATTAATTGCAAGATTAATCTGTTTCATTTAACTGATGTTTTCTAGGTGTAACGTTCTCCATGTATGTAATAAATAAATGAATATTCCGGACTTCTGTTACACAACCCCATCTAGTTTCAAACTAAGCTGAGCTTGTACTATGAAAGCTAGATTGACTGATATAATATACTTATGTACTTTTTTGTAAATACATACACATTATACCTAAAAAACAGCGAAACTCCGAAACAAATAGTTGCAGATCATACAAAAATTTGGCCCGACCGAACCCGAGACCTTAGCACAGCAGTTGCATACGCTTAAACTGCACCACCGGAGGCAGTCAAATAAATAAACACTGTGTCAATATGCCTTACCTTCAAACAAGACAGATGTCCGTTGGCCTGTTTCAAATACTGAGCGATGATACCGCTCGGCAGCGAACACTGGTCGTCCCTGATGTGGACAACACTGACTAGCGCCACCTGGAAACACATTTAATTAAACTTTAGAGCAGGGATTCCCAAACATGTCGATCGACCCCTTGGGGTTGACGTCACAAACGAAAACAGATTTTGGGGTTTTACGAAATCAAAAAATCGATCCCTATTAATTAACATAAGTTCTAATTTGAAACTCTCAAGATACTGTATTAATTGTGTTACGTATACCAACTTGTTTTAAAAATGACTAATATTTTATTATCATGTTTTATATATGTATCATTATTTTACTTTTATAACATAACATATATTAATATTTTGTCAACGAGTCAATAAGAGCGCAGTAATTTGGCTATGGGGATCTGAGGTACTAGTGCATTTTAGAAAACGGGTCTCTTGCCCTAAATAGTTTAGGAATCCCTGCTTTAGAGTGTTCGATAGCGGAAGAGTTATGCTTCGACACATAAATGGACCGGCCAAAAATATCTGATAAAATCAAGTAAGTACTGTACCCTTCAAACGATTGTGGTAATTCATCAACGCCCTATGATAGTTCACTGCTGGTCATAGGCCTCTTCTTAGAAAGGAAGTTTTGGCCTACTATACTACGCTTGCCAGACGGGTTGGTAATTAGGACTTGATTATTACCAACTCTATTGTTATGTACATAAGCTTAAAAGGGTTGGTATTATTGAAAATGTACCTTTCGTTAAACATGGAGACGATATCCCCTGATAATGATAATAAGAACTTTTCATGTTTTACACTGCAGTCTGATCCCAAAATAGGCAGACTACGGTAACCGGATTGTAATAAACATACTTAAATACACACATATTTAAGGTTAGTTTTTTTTAAAGACAACTTAGGAATATATCCTGTGTCACGGGGGACTTTTAAAAACATACATGTAACGGGCACAAAGAACACCCAGACTCAACAGAACAACAATTTGTGGATCACTGTCCCATGTGGGGATCGGATCCACAACACTCAGTGCAAGTAGGAAGCAGCGAGAAGACCGCTTAAACCACTACTTCACCCGTGCAGTCTAAGTCTAGTTACACCCAGACATAGAACAAATGATCGTGCTCCTCACGCAATTATTTGTCCTGGATGGGAATTGAACCCACGACCTCTTAGCTTAGCAGCCAGGGTCACTAACCACTTAAATAGCAGGACAGCCAATAGTCTCCATACATACGAAAGACAACATGTTCAAGGCGAAAGGAAGCCGCAAAAAGGTGACGACATGAAAACACCTAATACGTTTACAAAATGTAATTTTGACGTAGTTTACAATCGTCTAAATTACAAAACTGATTAATTTATCCGTTAATCCTTGGATTAACCGCAGAATTCTTGAGATAAGCGAAATGTTCTGATGAAATCGTAATGCGGAGCGAACGCGCATGAAATTCTTAATAAAATCGTTTTGAAACAGCGCGAACTCATTATTACCGCATAATTGATTAAATATATATATTTACATCCATACTCGTATATTTATGTTTTCTGCCTTTTTGTGTGTACGGTAATTACCCTAAAAAGCAAAGAAAAATGCGAATGCCTACCAGTTTATTTTTGTTACTTCACATCAAGAAAACAAAGTACCATTCTGATTTTGTGGTTGTCTACAACATGACAAATTGTAATGAACCGTATTTTTCCTTCCTTAATTTCCTACCCTTTGGAGTGGTATATTTTCTTCAAATTTGACGGGAACCGAATTGAGAATCCTCTTTTTTTAATTAGTTTTAAAAATTAGAAAATAAATTAAAAAAAGAAAAATACATGAATTTTATATATCGATTTTTTCTTTTATATATCGTAAAAATGCGTGGGGTGCTAGACGTCAAGTGTTGTAAATATTTTTTTAACAGGTATTGATAAAAGTGACTTTATGTTATTATAATATACCCAGAAAAACACCATACGCTTTTTACGAAAAAAAGATTTTCCATTTTTACAAAAGGATGTTAATTTATTTTTCTAGACTATAATTTATTTTTTCTTATTTAGTTATTAAGGATGATTTTCTCATTAAGAATAAAAAACTAACAAGTAAGTAAGTCACATAATGCTTCAGTACACGTCATAGTACGTGGCACAAGACAATACCGTATTTTCAGATATGGAAAAAGCCGTTGATCTTGAACATCCTGATTAGGATAATAGGTCAAATTTATTAAACTATTGTATTGTCATCGGTTCTTGGTAAGTGTGCGTAGTTTCAGTTCAATCGGACGTTTTAAAGTGGGTGAAAATCACGATCAAAGATTCACATAGATACATACATACCAAGCTAATAAAAGCGTGTAAAAAATGCTGAAAGTTAGACGTCTATTCACGTAAATTATAAAATATTTTCATATTGATGTTTTATTCTTTTTTATTCTTAATATCTTCTTATTTCTACTTTGTATACAGATTGTAGGCGTATCATATCAGAATCTGATTTATCATATATTTTTCCAAAGATTCAATGTTATTTAAATATCATAATGTTTCGATGCATGGCTCTCCCACGAACAAATATATCCCACTAGTACTGGTAATAAAGGCAGTTGGCAAATGAGAAGGAGTGCAGAAAGTTGCTTACATTCTTATTATAATACTAGCTTTTGCCCGCGGCTCCGCCCGCGTGTATGCCGGTTATCGCGGTAAAATGGGGCCTATGTTACTAGCTGATTACGAAGTTTTCCAATGGTGAAAGAATTTTTAAAATATGTTTAGTTGTGCGCCTACACCACTTAACATATTGTTTAGTGGTGTAGGCACCACCACTAAACATATTGTTTAGTGGTGTAGGCACCACCAATAAACATATTGTTTAGTGGTGTAGGCACCACCACTAAACATATTGTTTAGTGGCGTAGGCGTGCAAGTGTAACAAACAAATAAACTCACTTTTACATTTAAAATATAGTTAAGTATAGATGTCTGGATATAAAACAATCAAAAATGTTTTTAAAGTACTCAACGCACGGATAAGTATTCTGATTCACGCTTCTGTATTTCACAAACGAGAGATAGAAGTCAGCGGAACACTCCTGTTTCCTATAAATGCTAATACTTACCGTATCATCAGGCCTTAGCTCGCCCGTGTCCCGAACATCCCTGGCTAAGATCACTACAAGAGGATAGCACGAGCGAGGTGGGGGGCCCAGCTGAAGAGGCTCCTCGGTTGCCAAATTTAAAGGCTGCTCGTCATGAGGACTACTCCTAGAACACAAGAAAAACAGACGATTAACATCATCAGTTTTGTCAGTCCTGTGCGTATACTGTTATAAACATAAATTAATCTTTTCGGGTTTTTTCTTTTAGAAGAAGCAAGTTCTTAGCTTAACTTTATGTTACTTCAGTAAGTTTCCTAAAGGTTTAAAATTTTACGAGTGTCAAACTATCCCATTACGAGAAAATGTATTACCTACCAATAAACGCAAAAAAATTGTAGAAGTTTGTTTCTCAATAACGCCGGATCTGGAGGAAATATGGAACCTTGAAAATTAAAAAGATATTCGTGCTCTAGATTCGTCATGGTCACCGTTTCGTTAAGTCATTGACCGTGGATTATTTACAATATACGAGTATATGTGCAGGTATGCACGTTGTGCCCATATAAGATATAACTTTGTCTGTTATCTTACCACTGGAACCTTAATGAGCATACATAATTAATAATAATAATGTGATGCTAATAACTTTTTTATTAGAATTCTTCAAGGTGAGCAGTTTCAAGGCTATGCACATTGCATAACGAGAATATAGCGCTGTATACAAAGTTTTGGAAATGTCACAAGTTTTTTTTAACGTTGTGTAAATATAATATGCATATTGAGTACGAGGATTTTGATTTGTTACGAATACTGTAAATAATTTGGAGAGAAACGCGGAGGGTCAGACCGGCTGTTGGCGTGGCGACGCGTAGCGTGGCAAGTCGCCATGCGCTAAGGATTCAATTAAAGGAAGAGTATTTTATTCTGTATTGTGTTTTATTTATTATTCCCTTTCAAAAGTTATTATTTTATTATTTCAAATCTCAAATTCGCGCGATAGCTTAATTTTAGTACTATTATTTTTCTGTTCATTAAAATTATACTGTTTTATTGAAATAGGTATGTTATTTCAACAAAATATCATAACAACGTGTTTCTTAAACAAGCGTAATTCATACAAAAGGAGGTTTTTTCTTTAGATCTCCAATAATGCAGTTACAAAATGAATCAGCGATTTTAAAGGCCACTGTCAAGGCTATCAAAATGTCTCGGAGCAAAAACTTAATCGTTTGAACTTTGCTCAGAGTGAAATGTACTGTCTTTGTTGTTACTAGGAAAACGTTAATTGACATGAGAGACTGACACTAATTGTTAGCGTCGTGGCGAAATATATGGGGCTAGCTGGCTGCCTATGTAACTTTAACCGAGCTATTTATTCTTGTGTATTTATAAATACATATTTCGTGTATCTTGGAAACGGCTTTAACGATTTAGATCTAATTTTGATTTTATATAAGGTTTTACAGGACTGGCCTGTTGGTCTAGTGTTTGGCGATCTTGACTGCTTAGCCAGAGGTCATGGGTTTGGTTTGTCTGGGTATAATTTTTCAATACTTATTGTATGATAAAGCTGAAAACTCTTCAGTTTGTTTGGTAGAACGCACTAATCTCAGGAACAACAGGTTTAGGTTTGAAAAATCCGTTTAGTGTTGGATAGTCTGTTTTTCGAGGAAAGCTATGAATCAAATACTATATAGTAGTGATGGAATTATCAGTGTTAACACTCATATTAATTTGTAAATTCTTAATTAGCATTTAGCAGTTAGCAGGTACCTATATAGTATTTGTTAATAAGAAGTTTAATTATACAGTAGGTATAGGTAATTTAAGTTTTGAAGAGTACGTGTACGTATTCATTCATAGATTCACAAAATTTCACAACTACAATTAATTTGCTAACTGCTAATTAAGAATTCACAATTAAATATGAGTGTGAAGACTAATTATTTCATCACTACCAGCTAGAAGGCTATATAACATCACGATACGACCAACAGGAACCGAGCATCAATAAAAAAAGTTGCAAAAAGAAGTTGCCCGGGTCGGTTAGTCTATAATATGTAAATAATATTTAGACATATGTAAATATGTTTAGAAATATATGTGCCAGTAAGACGGCAAAATGTTTGCCCTATATTAAGTAAATAAGTGGGACTAAAAAAACAATCCGCTACATGTAGCCGTTTAATTTAATTTCCCTCTATCTACTTCTTCGGGGATTAAAGACGTGAGCTAATGTATGCATATGTACACAGATAATATTATCATCATCATCATCATCAACAGCCTTTAATGGTCCACTGCTGGACATAAGCCTCTCCTGAGAAAGGAGGTAATAATATAATAATAATTATAATTAACATACCTGTTCAATATAATATATGATAATATTATATTGAACAGGAATGTAATTTACACAAAGCCAGGATTGAATCAAAATTGAGTTTTCTCTCAGCTAAACTTTGATGAAAACCGTTTGTAGATGCTTAGTCATTATAAAGAAAAAAGCTCTCAAAAAGTTTTACAAAATCCGTGACGCGTGCGTAATCTTCGTATACTTGTTTTTTTATAGCGTTGGGGACTAACGAGCAGGTGAGTCATTGATGGTAAGTGACTAGGGGCCATCCATAAATTAACACGTTAAAGGGGAAGGTATTACCGGAATGTGACAAGGGGTGAGGGGGTTGAGCGGGGGAGGGCAAAGCTTTGTGACGTCAAAGTTAAAATTAAAAATTTTAAAACGCGTAATTTATATGTGAATAAATAACAAAAAAATTACGAACTCGACCTATATGTATTTATTATTTTTATTTACATGCATAAAATTGAAAAATTTGTGACATCACATCAGGGGGAAGGGGATTCAAAGAATGTGACAACCTGTGACGAGTACGTGGGGGAGAGGTTAATAAGTCCTAAAATTCTTGTGCCGTAATTTATGGAGTGCCCCCTAGCACTGCCCATGGACACCAGCAACTAAAAGAGTTACAAATGGGTTGCCGCCATTTAAGCCGCCTCCGTTAGAATCAGGCGGAGGTTTGGGGGCCTTTGCTCTGGTATCCCTCCGGTTGAGCCTGTAATATGGGCTGAAACTGAGAAAGTCAGTTGTTTACCACCTTTGGGGTGTAAAAAAGGTGTTTCAATTTATTCTTAGAACTTTAGGAGAAGGAATAACTTTATTCGATTCTGACAAAGACATGTACATGTTCATCTAATCTTCTGACGTAGAAGCTTAGATAAATAAAAGCAAGGAAGAGGAAATAGACACTCAGTGAAGTTGAACTTCCTAGAACAGAACTTGTCGGTAAATATTTACTGACGTTGATTTTAAAACGATATTTTTTTACTTGCGCAGTTCCATTCTAAAAGGTTCTCTCTGAGTCATAACGTTTTATACGAGTTATTCTTTAATTATCATCAGCCATAAAATTGAAACTGGGTTTTTGGGATTTTGATGCTGGATTAATTGACCATATATATGTTGAATAAATCGGCAATGACATCATCGTACGATGCGTTTATCTGATTTAATATTTTTGATCCTTTTTTAATAAAATAGAACTCTCGCATTAGAATTATAGCCTGTGTCGCGGAGGAATTTGCAAACATTTGTGTAAAACGGATACAAAGAACATCAAGAATCAGAACAACAATTTGCGGATTACACAAAGTGTTGTACCATGTGGAAATCGAACTCACAAAACTCAGCACACTCGAAAACGGCGAGGTGACCGCTTAAACCACTACGCCATCCGTGCAGTCAATTAAGAGTATTATGAAGCATGGTTATATTTATTAAAAACATAATGGAGTGATTTTAATTTTATTGTAACACTAGTTCTTTTTCTTGTTCCTGGAGCTTCGCTCGCCTGATTATTTCGTGTTTCTAACTTTGAAAATCACGAACTTCCATACAACCGTTAATCTCTTATTTTACACCCTTAGGGGGACATTTCCAAAATCCTTTCTTAGTTTGAAGCAGTTTAAGCTCTGCGTACCCGAGACGGCGTGCGGCTTTTAGTCGGTTCGTGTCCGACATAGCCACCGGTAGGTGGTATCCGAGGGGATTTCCGCACAGAAAAAAAAGGCTCTGCGTAGATGAATTAATTATTATTATTAGTAATATTTATTGTTCCTCTCACACTGATATGATTACAACAAACAATCTTAATCTAGATTATTTTGAGTGAGTCTGTGTGAGAGAATCAATCAAGCAGGTCAAGTTATTTTATGTGTATACATTGGCAACACTGTGATCACCCCTTATCAAGGACAAGAAACGATACTAGTGACGTTCTCAAGGTCAGTGACTGGGGTCATGATTGCCCCCAGTTCGCACGATTTCAAGTAGGTTATTAAATTAGAGCTCGCCGTAAATGATGATGGTAATTTATTTATATGTTCTTATCTAAGTTGTGTAAGGCACATTCATATTTTGTATGTTGCAACCCAACGTTGAGCAATCAGAATCTAAATCTAGAATGTTCCCTTCACCATCCTTGCTTCTTGTTAAAGGTTAGTTGCTTAAGGATCGCTAGGAGTAGGTAGGCGTTGAGAAAAGGTCACATACCAAGATTCTTAGCTGCCGCCTTATCAATATTTATGGATCAAATTCCTACGATACGATACGATATAAGGGGAGATAGTAGATGTGAGATTAATTTAGGAACTAGCTGCGGACCGCGCTGTTAACAATACATTTTTTCGGGATTAAAAGTAGCCTATTAACACAAAGGCAATCCAAGATGTCAGCTACCTCCATACCACTGCATAAGTTTTGATATTTTTTTTATCCTCATTCTTCAAAATTTATGCAGTCGTTTGATAGTGAAGAAGTAGCAAAAACACACACACTCAAAAATTTTCGCCTTCATTAGTAGTAGTAGATATATTATTATGGTTACTGTTCATTTGCCTTTTCAGTTAGTGCCTTTTATTTTTATTTCTAAATTAGTGTCTATACTTTTGTTTTTCTAATTTTCTTTTTCGTATTTAAATAGTCGAATAGCTTATATACTCCAGAAAATTTTCATACAACTTGGTTCCTTACAAAATATTTACCTTTACGACAATATGCCCATATTCAACTCAATTAATAAAAACAAACTATACAAAAAGCCATAAAAATATAAACCAGTTTAAGACCCGTTATAAAGTATCAAAGAT